TGCTCATCTTTACATCTTCTCATCTTGCCCTCTTGCCCTCTTGCCATCTTGCCCTTTTGCCCTCTCCTTCTTTTCTATTTCTCTTCTGAAGGCGGGGGCAGGGGCAGTGCCAACGAGACGGCACGAAACGCAACCCTTTCGCACGAAACGAGGTTCGATCGCCAAAAACTGAGGTAAAAGTGCGAGTTCAAGTCGTCCCGCGCAACCCTTTCGCACGAAACGAGGTTCGATCGGCAAAAACTGTGGTAAAATTGCGAGTTCAAGTCGTCCCGCGTAACCTTTTCGCACGAAACGAGGTTCGATCGGCAAAAACTGTGGTAAAATTGCGATTTCAACTTGTCCGGCGCAACCCTTTCGCACGAAACGAGGTTCGATCAAGTTCGATCGTCAAAAACTGGGGTAAAATTGCGATTTCAGCTTGTCCGGCGCAACCCTTTCGCACGAAAGAGGTTCGATCGGCAAAAAATGAGGTAAAATTGCGATTTCAAGTTGTCCCGCGCAACCCTTTCGCACGAAATGAGGTTCGATTGTCAAAAACTGTGGTAAAATTGCGATTTCAACTTGTCCGGCGCAACCCTTTCGCACGAAATGAGGTTCGATCGTCAAAAACTGAGGTAAAATTGCGATTTCAAGTTGCTCCGCGCAACCCTTTCGCACGAAACGAGGTTCGATCGTCAAAAAGTGTGTAAAAGCTTTTGTGTGCAAAGTCGCTTCGTTTCCTTTTTTTTCCGGTTCACATGGAAATGGGACTTCGCCACCCTACCCCTCGACACATGCACACACGATATAAGGTATACGTGTCAAAGTGTGTAAAAGCTTCTGTGTGTAAAAGCGTCTGTTTGTAAAAGTGATTGTGTGTAAAAGCGCTTGTGTGTAAAACCGTCTGTGTGTAAAAGCGTCTGTGTGTAAAAGTGTTTCTGTGTAAAAGTGTTTGTGTGTAAAACCGTCTGTGTGTAAAAGCGTTTGTGTGTAAAAGCTTCTGTGTGTAAAAGCGTCTGCGTGTAAAAGCTTCTGTGTGTAAAAACTTTTGTGTGCAAAAGTGTCTGTGTGTAAAAGTGTTTGTGTGTAAAAGCTTCTGTGTGTAAAAGCGTCTGCGTGTAAAAGCTTCTGTGTGTAAAAGTGTCTGTGTGTAAGAGCGTCTGCGTGTAAAAGCTTCTGTGTGTAAAAGCTCCTGTGTGTAAAAGGGTCTGGGTGTAAAAGTGTCTGTGTGTAAAAGCTTCTGTGTGTAAAAGCGCCTGTGTGCAAAAGCGTCTATGTGTAAAAGCGTCTGTGTGTAAAAGCTTCTGTGTGTAAAAGCTTCTGTGGTTAAAAGCTCTTGTGTGTAAAAGTGTTTGTGTGTAAAAGCGTCTGTGTGTAAAAGCGTCTGTGTGTAAAAGCGTCCGTGTGCACAAGCGTCTGTGTGTAAAAGCGTCTGTGTGTGAAAGTGCCTGTATGTAAAAGCTTCTGTGTGTGAAAGCTTTTGTGTGTAAAAGCTTCTGTGTGTAAAAGCTTCTGTGTGTAAAAGCTTTTGTGTGTAAAAGCGTCTGTGTGTAAAAGCTTCTGTGTGTAAAAGCTTTTATGTGTAAAAGCTTCTGTGTGTAAAAGCTTCTGTGTGTAAAAGTGTTTGCGATGCAAACTATTGTCTTGTACTTGTGCTATATTGTCTTGATACTCCTCTTCTCGACTGCCTATAACACATCTTTAATATATTGTTTTGTAATATGGTGTCTCCATACTAACAAGAGAAGACCCTGCTCCTCTACGCTCTCGGGCCATCCGTCGTCTAGTTTTCATGTTGACCCTGGTCAGGAGAGTGAGTTGAGGTACTGGGATGAATCCCTGGCAGTTCTTGCGATTCAAATGATCCGACACCATGGTCGTAAAGATGCGGCCGTGTGCAAGAAGTGGGAGAGGAGAGCTGGGGCATGGACCACGGTGAGACTGATTGAAGGGTTCGAAAGTGCCAGCTTTCGACATTTTCCGATCCTTTCGCGTGCCTTTAACAGTGGCTGAAACAATTTCTGCGATTGAGTCCATTGAAAAAATCCATCTCCCGTTGAGGATCCGGGAAATTCATGATGTTTCCTGTCGAATGCGATCCCTGATTTGGCAACTGAATGATGACTGGTACGTAGAGATAACTGGCTATATACCACTGGGTCGAAGCCCAACTGATAGCACTGCTAACTTACCTGCTCTTACTTGCATAAGATGCACATCCAATTCATCTGAGCTATTTCACGTGTTTCACATTTCGATCATTAGACGAAGCCAGGCCCAAAAATGGGATCCTAGTGCCTATCCTCATCCCCCTCTGGCTCGATCGCGGTCGCAGGAAACGCTTCGCCGTGATGATGGAAGCGGGTAACGACCCCAATGTCTCGGGCGGGCGTTATTCCCGGCTGCTGGAGAACCCTTTCGGACAGCGGGCCGTGCAGACGCTGGGCCATGGCGAGGGAGGATTTTTTTCGCAGCCCCTAAAGGGTTCATATTTGGGGATGAATGGATTATATGATTCAATATAATTTATATTAATTTAATATAATTCACTTCTATTAGGGTTCTGATGGTTCTGCAATGGGGACAATGCTCAAACGACTTAAGTTTTGGCCCATGGCCCATACCCACATGAGAGACGGAGGACATTGCCGACCAACATGTGATTTGAGGCAACAAACATAAGAAACCCCGCTGGCAATTTAGCACCCGGTTGACCCAACTGGTATGGCGGCTGAGGGTCAGTGTGGTTCCCAGCAAAGTTGACATGTGTATAGCAGTTACTATAGTTCCTTTGCTTCCCCACTTCTTGAGCCAAGCTTTTTAGAGTTGGCAGAGATAAAGAAAACATGAACCTCTTGTTTCCCAAACTTTTTCAAACGGAAGCAGCTGTTTCTTTCTGAGCCGCCCAGGTGTGTTGAGTCCAATGAGACGGAGTTCAAAACGGCCTACTATTCAGGCATTTGTGGCATCTACTATGAGTCACCTGCGAACCAGCGACATTATTGGTAGGGGCCCGCAAGAGGGGAAGCTCCGGATGGGATTACCACGTTTTTTGGGTTGGAAATGGCAAAACATGCCGACTGCCAACCTGTGATGATCCATGATCCATTCACACTGCTCTGGATCCATGTTTGAAAAACGTATTCTTTGGAAGATTCTCCAAAGAAATTCAATGAACATCAACAGAAACCTGGTATACCAGGTTTAAACATGGACCCAGTTGGATAGTCTTGGTGGCCAAAGTGCCACTTTTTAAAAGAAAACAGTTCAAAATTGACTGCGGCCAAAATCTTCGGTCGAGAGCTCATGTCTGCCAGTCTGGCGCTTTTAAGCCATGTGGGGGATCCCCAAAACCATAGGTTTTCAAACTAAACTTGTCTAATTTAGGATGATTTGGCGGTACCTCCCATTTTTTTGGAAATTCCCATATGAATAATAGAAGTACTGGCTTGTAGGTTTGGATGTAGGGTGTAGCAGCGTGTTTTCTTTTTTTGCTTCGTGAGAAACAGGACCCGATGCACGCCATGAATCCTTCACGCCATGAATCCTTGGCCATGTGTAAGTAGCAGTATTCTTGCAGAAAAATATTAAATTAATATAGTGAACAGATGCAATACATCCTTTAAAGAAGCTCAGCCTCCCTCTCACTTTTTCTCTGCATGACATTTGTGTTTACAGGAAAGACTTCGCTTCTTCAAAGTAGTGTTGCCTGTTTCGTTCAGATGTTTCACTCATATGGAAGGGCATATTGCATACATACATCCATGACCTGTTTCTTTCAAAAAACACTACATACACCCAAGGGTTCTACTTCATAGTAATGCTTCTTTGTTTTATTGCATGCTTTTCAATAAAACGATTCACTCCCTTGTGAAGGAAGCTTTGCACATACTTGCACCAAAACTTTCTTCAAGGAGTACCACAATCCATCACCATTTTGCTCTATGATTGTGCCTAGCATAGGGACATCAATGGTTGCCTTAAGGCTAACCTGTGCACGTTTGCACTTCCACGTGTCAGGTGCTAGAAGGCCTCGGGCAGCCAACAGTTCAAGCGATGGGAACTCTGGTTGGTCTTTTATTGGCAGCACCTCTTCCTTGATAACTAGCTTCAGTGGCTGGGGCTGCTGCCCTTGAGGGTCTTGGCTGGGTTGGGGCGTGGTATCCTTGGACGCTGCAACATCTTCGAACCAGGTGGGGCGGACCGACTGGACGCCTATGGGACTGGCGGAACTTGCGGTTTTGATGCTTTCTCTGCGCAGGTTGTGGTATACTGGTGGGATCATCCATGCCGGCACGAACACTGTGATAAACTGCACATTCCAGATGACCTGCAGGTTCTGCGGCTTGATTTCGGGCGTGATGCATCTTACCTAACCATCGATTACTCTGGTATATGATTCGGAGCGGTCGAAAGATGCTGTGACTTTCAAGCCTAGGTACAACTCTCTAAACCAGTATTCCTTAAGCAACATAAAGGAAAGATGAGGTGCCCTCACTTCCAATACGTGCGTTGCTGGTATTAGAAGGGTGACCAACCATTCAGCTAAGAATTCAATCATTTTGACTTCGAGCTTGGGGAGGATGGTCTGGACCGCTCGGAGCGCGGCCGCAATGTCTGGGACATGTGTGGGTGAGGGCAGTCCGACTGTTCGCCTGGCGTATTCATCGGCAAAGTAGAGTCTGCACAACTTTGAGACCCATTGGCTCGGTTTCTCCATGTCTATGGTGATCTTGGCCAGGGGCCATGGGTCTGGAAGCCTGGACAGGCAATGCAGTAATTCTGAAGTTAGGTCTGCAAAGGATTCCATTCGGAAGTAATGCTATCCTCCCTGAAATTCCTTTACCTCTTTGACAGAACTTTGCACAGCTGTAACTCTCTTTGAACATAACTCTATGTCTATGGCCCTTTCAAAGAAAGCTGCGCTCCTTTAGAACTTTACACAGCTGTAAGTCTCCTTTCAAGAAATGCTGCACTCCTTTATAACTTTGCACAGCTGTAAGTCTCTTTGAGAATAAGTCTACGTTCCTTTTGAGAAATGCTGCACCCCTTTATAATTCTGCACAGCTGCAAGTCTGTTTGAAAATAACTCTATGTTCCTTTCAAAGAGATGCTGCACTTCTTTATATAAGGGAACTGTACACGATGATATCACTTTATGCAAGGAATGATGCGAATTTATCCAAGGAATGTCATATTAAGTTGAAAATGCTGCTGCACAAGGCCTATATCGGAGCATGTTGCATTGAAAACAGACTTCAAAGTACATGCTGAAACTTCTTTACTGATTGTATTTTCAAGCCTTGGCTGTGTTGTATTTTTTCCAATGGTCTTAAGTAACTTTCTGGGAGAGTTCTCAAACCATGAGAACACCAAACAACATTTCACACCTAGAGAATGTCCGCCGGAGGTGGCTGAGTAGATATGGTGTTTGATTTACCCTCTGGTAATTTAACATAGCTATTGAAAATGGTCCATTTATAGTGGATTTTCCGATTAAAAAATAGTGATTTTCTATAGCTATGTTAGTTTACCAGAGGGTAATCTGCATACTTGCAAGTGTGCGCTTTGCTTACTAATCCAACTTGTATTTATGCAATATCTTGCTGAACCTACTGCTGCTACTCTTTTTTAGGATGTGGATATGCATGATCATTACAACCAAAACCTCGGGAAAACCAAAAACACTTTTCAGTGAATGTTTGGTCTGAAGTTCATGTTTGTCTTTTTGTTTTACCTGAGTTTTTTGTTTTTCTTAGATGTCAACAATTGACATGGTGAAAAAACAACTCAAGGACTCAAGGTGTTTTGGGTTTTTCCATTGCACGGCAAAAAGAAACTAAAGCAAAAAACATCCAAACACAAAAAAACTTGATTGTTGCCAAGGGTGGGTCATCGGGGGGTTCCAGACATATTTATGAGCATATGCAGAAATTAGGCTAAATGTGGCTATTTCATCCAATTTCCATGGACCACTTCATTTGCTCGCCATGACCGATGCCGCTGATGATCTCTTCTCCTCTGACACTGAGGACGGGTGAGCAGTGCCAAATGGGTATGGATCAATACCTATTAATACATATTAATACCATTTTTAGGGGGATGAACATCCATTTACTAGCTATTTTGATGTTCACCAGGGGTACAAGGTTTTGACACACTGCCAAATTTTGGGGTGCTGATGTCCGCATGACATGTGGAGTTCAGCACCCCAGGTCCCTACGGTCCCTCGCCTGATCCGTGACAGGATGAGGAAAGCGCCCAGCTGAAGACCCAGAAGAAGATAGAGGCAGCAGCTACACACAAGGAGGACCATGGATCACCTACTAATGTGGAGAACGGGCTGCCCTGGTCGTTAGCTAAGTTGCTTAATGGGAATATAATGGGATAACTAAGATAACTCGTGTTTTATGGTGGTTGATGGTTGGTGATAAAGCAACAAACATAACGGGGGTACTACCTTGTAGCCCCTTTTAGGGAATCGGTAAGCGGTCACTGGATGTCATGAGGAATTCATACAGTTCGCGCGAGAAAACATTGAGACTTGGACGTGGCCCAAACCCGCAAAATCGGATAGCGGACACTGAACCCCGACAATGGAGTACATTTTCCTCTTTTTTTGGATACCCCTGATTGCTGGCTTTTGAGGAGTGCCCACAGATCCTTTTGGTGACTGTTTCTTGATGTTGTTTAGAGTTTCGAGTTATACATTTGATTATATATAAAAATATATAAATATATATTATTCTTTATATTACATATTATATTATTACATATATATATATATGATGTTGGTTACATTTGGTTACTGTACTTACTGGTTTAGTGCAAAGCTTTTCCATTATTTCATGAGGGATGAGAATCTCTCGATGATCAAGACACCAGGTGAAGTTTGGATTCCCGGGAGGTCGATATTCGAGAAAATCTCAGAAAAAATCCCTGTTCAGCAGGGTTGCTCCAACCTATGCGTGACATCTCTACCCTCTGGTAAACTAACATAGCTATTGAAAATGGCCATTTATAGTGGATTTACCCATAAAAAATGGTGATTTTCCATAGTTACGTTAGTTTACCAGAGGGTAATTCACCATTTTTATCAATTTTCTTCAAACGTATCTGGGGTGGCGAGGGAGCAACAACGGCGTTGCTTCAGCATCCAGGAAGGCAATGGTCTTCTCAAGAAGCAGCTGGTCACAGAGGCCTACGGCTGGGAGATCTAATGACAAGTCATGGATGAGAAGATCTGCGGGGGAAGAGAATGCCAGCGACCCGCCATTGTTGGTTGTTCAATTTGTTATAGTTATAGTTATATTATATTTGTTGTAGTTTGAACATGCTCAGCTGCTCATTTTGGTGTGTTTAATGATGATAGGTCGATGGGTCACGATGAATCATCCACCCGTTCATGCTTTATTTGCAGCAGGCAATGTTCCGAAACTCGGATCAACAATACTGGCGTCTTTTCTTTGAGAATTTGAGAATCGCAATATATCCTCTGGTAAAGTAAAATATAGACCCTGAACATAACCAATTCTTAGTGGAAACTAATCTTCCAACCCCTATTTGCCAGGGTCTATGTTAATTTACTGGAGGGTACCACTTGCTTTTATTGGGCAGTCCTTCATTTAGGCTTGTCTCCAAGTTGAGAAAACTCATCGTTTTCTACTCCTGGACGGCGGATGGCTGCAAGTTGTTTTCTTCTTGATAGATAAATAGGAAATCATACAAGTGGCATCATGACCCTCTTACTCCATACCAGCTCTGAAATATACAAGCAATCAAACAATTGGACTATTTGCGTCCACCGCTTGAATTCTCCCTACTGGTTTATCTTGGACAAGCTGTCGAGTAAGTTGGGTAGCATGACATATAGGTAAAACAAAGAATGGCCCGGGCACCACCGATGTTTGCTTGCTTCGAAAAAAAAAACATTTCACTCACATCACACATCGAATTTCGGACTCAGGTTGGCCTACTAGGATACCCCATCTATATACTATATACATCTATATACAGTAGCTGTTTAATTCTCGTATGTCCCATGACTTGCATTGTGTAAAGTATGGCGAAACGCCGGATCTCCGGGAATCTCCGGGAGTCTCCGGGATCTGAGGCAGAGCAAAGCTACCGGAAGGCGCTCTCGTGCATTTGGGCGCTCTACAGACAAAGGTCAGTCGCTTGATGGATCATGATGCTTGGGATCCTTGGGGCCCCAACAGGAAGGACCATGAAGGACCTCTCTAGACGCCCCAACAGGTTGGTTTATTTAAGCTTCGCTAGCTAGGGTTTTCATGCATATCTTTTTGGTGGATTAATAATTATATGTCATGATATGTATATATAGATAGGTGGTGCAATGAGACGACGAACCATTCTTGTAGGTGTCTCTCCATTGGTACCCAATGGGATGTGTTGGGATGGTGATCCAAAGATAACTCACACCGACTCGTTGTCTTCATAAAATGAATCCTCTGCTTGGAATTATGTTTCAACATTGTATCAGATTTATATATACAACACCTTTTTACATACTAAAAAGATACATGAACTATGTATTCATACATATATAATCACATATATATTTATATTATATTATATTATATTATATTATATTATATCATATTATATTATATTATATTATATTACAATATATTATACTATATTATATTATATTATATTATATTATATTATATTATAAAATAAATATATCTCGAGATGTATATGCGCATCACCTGTTCAGTCTTTTTTTGAAGCCAGAAATAGTCTGGTTCTGCCCAGGTAGGAAAGGCTGTGGAGTTGGGTCAGGCGGTGGATCTGAACTTGGCCTTGTGCTACTTGAAGTTGGAACGCACCTTGGTTCTTAGGCGCCGGACCAAGTTTTGATCCTTAAAGTTTGGCTGGGAATTGGCCACCCTTTCGGGATTTACCCTCTGGTAAACTAACATAACTATGGAACATCACCATTTTCTATGGGAAAATCCACTATAAATGGCCGTTTTCAATAGCAAACTGTTAAATTACCAGAGGGTATTGAAATGTTTTGGACTTTGTGGGAATTTATGGGAGATTTATGGGAAAAGGTGTGGGAATTGACCTCGTTTTGATTGGAAAGAAAAAGCCGCCCCAATCGATGGGAACTCACCTTCAATTTGTGGGAATTAGTGCCAAATTCATCCCAATTCTGTTGGCATGCACCCAATTTTGTTTGGAACTTTGACACTGGACCCCTGATATTTATGGCGATTTGATGATGTGTTGGCTTGGATGGAACATGTCAGAAGTGTTGCGACTCCGATTGCCCAGTGGTAATGCCTTCTCCAGTTTTCTCATGCCTGGAATCCAAAAACTTGTGCCTCCAAGAGGCCTAGAGAACGGAAATTGTCTCTGGTGATGCTATGGCCCCACTTTACCGATCAACTAAGCATAGTGTTTGGGGGTTTTGCCACTTGAGGCCAAACTACAACCCATGACACTATTGGATCCAAATCGGTAGCTGTACACCCACCATCATCCCATCAGATTTGCGAGTAATAGATATTCTGATGTTATATGGTGATATATGGGGGAAACCAACCCTCAACCAGTAGGTTTGGAGATGACAGAGGCACTGCCAAACCTACTGCTTGAGGTTATGATTCGGCAAGACGCTGTGCCAGCCGTGTGCTGGAGGTTGGGAAAGCATGGGGGTGGCAGGTTGAGTGTGGCATGATCCGTTTTTTGCGTCCTCAAAACGTGTTCTCTTTCCCAATCTTGACTTGATTTAACACATTCCAAAAAAAACAGTAGCTGATAATAGCTGATAAATGATTTGTTAGATCTATGCTAGATCTCAATCCCCATCTTTGGGTAATCTCTTCCAAGCCCAACCTGTTTTAAACACGGCCGTGCCGTTCCCTGGTTGCCCCAGGTGGATTCCGAGAACAGTAAAGCGCTGTACCGCCGGGCCCTGGCGTTGCGGAGCTTGGAAAGGACGGAAGAAGCGGAGAGGGACCTGATGATGGCCTGGCAGGTGCCGTTTTTTTTGGGAGGTTTTTTGTGGGGAGATTCTTGGGAATGGTGTATGAATATAGTGTTTTATAGTATGATATAAATGGAAAATAAGTGAATAGTACTAAATAACGGGGAGGATTAGAACTGTAATACTATGATAAATCATAAATAAGTAGATAGTACTATTAAATAGTGGGGAGTATTTTAAATTAATACTACAATAGATTATAATGCTTAGTCATGTGGGAAAACCCATCCCCAAGCGAATAATGATGGTCAATATTGGTGAGTGATGGGTATATAACCAAGATAAATTAAAACATGGATAACTGGAATGAGTCGCGTGCAACCCAATACCATAAACCCACCATAAACGGGGATGGTTGAAATCCCAGCCATTTATTGATGGTGATGACTTGGGGATGGCTTATGGCATTGGGTTTCCTACATTCTACAACATCTATGTTCTTTATATTTCCATACTTTTAGTAATTCAATACATTACCACGAATGGTAATTTTAGGGATTTTTGGGGACGGGAAATTTTCCGCTGGTTTAATTTGAGATATGGAAGCCATGGACCATTTAGTACCGGAGATCCGGATGGTTTTTGGGAGATACCCGGCCTGGTAAACATACAAAAAACTATGGAAAGATCCACCATTTTTCATGGGAAAACTCACTATTTCAATGGCCATGTTCAATAGCTATTTTGACATAACCAGAGGGTAGTTGGAGTTTTTTTTTGATGGATAGGGGCACATTTCCGGTCTTGGTGATTTAATACAAGGCCCCATTTGGTGTCTGGAAGCACGATTCTCTGCGTTGGGGAGACGCAAATGGGGACATATACGGCAAAATGGGGGTTGTTGCTCCAGCAAAGCTCTTCACATCAAATTGTGGAAAATCACCAAAGAAAGATCGAAGAGCAAGATCCTACTGAAATAGTGGCACATGACTTTTCATGACTTTTCTATTTTTTCGGGCATTTGCGTCTTGAAGAATATCGTATATCCATCATCGTAGAGGCTTCAGCAGGTGAAAACTGATGGATGTAGGATGATTTAGGGGCCTTCAAACCTTCAAAAAGAAAAGGATAGGCATCTAATTACTGCCTATTCCCGGAACTGCCCATTCATAATATGATTGACACGCTGCCTTGCCATCCCTTTATCTCTGTATTGTTTGGTTATTATTTGATAATGATCTCTGAAAGTCGTTCCCACCTGGGTGTGTCTGGTATCCAAAGGGCAACATTCATAGGGACAATTTGATAATCCATGATAAACCCTTGATAATGCCTCTTATAATCCATTTGATTGCGCAGTACCATATTCCCAGACAAACCTACCTGGACCTTGCGAATCTCAAGAGTTTCTGCAGGTTTCGAAGAGTCCAGAAGTTCGGCGAGAACTCTTGGCCTTGCGCAAGCTCCGGGGCGAGGATGGTATGGAACCACCAATTTGGCTATTTTTTCTTCCGGGGTACTCCACTTGAGTAAACCATTCAGAGGTGTATGTGTGGTTTTGCTTTTATAATGAATTGTTTCATGATGTTTCATGCCCGTTTGCTTTTATTTTTTTGTGTTTGTTTGCATATTTTGCATGATATTGTTGCGTTTGTAAACTCCTTCAAGAGAATAAGGTCTTGAAAAGGCTTGTTGAATATCAACATTTATCAACTTATATTCCCATGACGGATCCATGGTGCTATATATGGTGCTCCATGGATCCCATCAATATACCCCCAATCAATGTTAGCATTAATATACCAGCATATACCAGCACCATGAATCCGTCATGGATACTACATAAAAAAATATAGATGATAGTAAATATGTAGAATATATGTATATAAATAATCTAACTATCATTGATAGTATTGATAGTAATAGATAGATTTGCAATATCCAATATTTGATTATTATATCATTAGTTATCATTGATAGTTGATAAATAAGGCAAAGATCATGATATCAATGTCGTTACCTTCGTACCGCAGGAGTCGCTCCCTCTGGGCTTCTTGCAGCCGGAGGCCGAGACCGAGGCGGACTGGGCGGTGACGGAACAGGTGCAGGACGCGTTGCAGGAGGCCTGGGACCTTGGGGACCAAGAAATCGCAGTATTTTGAGTGGCGCCCACCAGGGAAAAGCCATTTTTTTCATGGTTTAAAAGTTTTTTTTTTCTAAGATCCTGTGATTTTTCAGATGTGTACTGAATCTTGTATGAAATTATGCAGTACTGCAGTTTTATCAGCGCGTTGGAAATGAATGGATCAATCCAATCCGGAATGTGTCGTAACCATCCCCATCTGGAGGTTTATGAATTGGTTTATCATGTTGGAGCTAATGTTTATATAAGGTTTTTGGGAGATTCTAAAGTAGAGTTTATGGGGGTATAACATGGTATAGCATGGTATAAAATGTTATAAACAAACTACAACTGGGATGGCACCACATCTAGTAACATCTATATAGTAGGTCCTCATTTTAGAGGGAGGGAGATAGCTAAGCAAGATGGGGGTTGTCCAAATCATGGATAATCCGTTGGAATTGAAAAGTAAATGGAGGATTTGCTCCTCGCAGAGGGTGAACAGTCTGAACAGTTTGGCTTGCCCTTCTATTTTATAGGACTAGAGTGTGCCTTGACACGCCTGAGTCATCCAATCAATTTCCAGATCAATGTCAACATTGGATTAACAATTTCTGGTTTATCCATTGGGGGTCCCCAGAATCATAATTAAATCATAATTAAATCATCATTAAATCATTATTAACATTGGCAAAGAGAGTAGGACAGTTCAATGGAACATACAGTGTAGATAAGATGATCGGATGCATCGTAATCTTTTCGGATGATATTCTTCAAATTTCCCTACCATTCCTGTTGTGTACTGTTGTTTTTTTTTCTAGAAAATATGATCTTCAGAATATGTAATGTTGCGTCACGTCCCGATTAGTGTGAGGCCCCCCCCCCCTCAACAATAGCTATACCCTCTTTAAACTTGGGCGTCACACATTTTCTTTCCAGGAAAAAAACATCCGCACTGAAGTAAGGATTTCAATTGGCTACAATTGAAATCTAATTAAATACTGTTTTTTGCCGATGAACTTGTGGTATTTGTAGTACTTGTAGTACTTGTTGTTGTTGTTTTGCAAAAAAAAAAGGTTTCCCAAACTTTCTTGCCACAAAAGCGAACCTGCCAAACAATGCATGGGTTCAGAATAATTTGGAAAAATCAATTGCCACAATAGCGAGCCTATCCACTAATCAGCATCCAACATTAACATCTATGTCTGTATGTCTGTATGTGGGGGGTCAAAAATGATCTATGATCTTGGGGAATGAACATCTAGCCAAAACACGCGCCCTTTTGATGTTCACATATGTTCCAAAATGTTTGATCCCAATAGTTGTGCACCAAGAATTATGAACCACTTTCTCATGTATCACTATATTCATTTTAGGCATTGGGTTTATGCGAATAGAACTATATTTTTGAGGATTGCTATAGCCTGCGGTAATCTAACATGGCTGGAAAATCTACCATTTTGGATGAGCTTTCCAGCTACAAACCTCCATTTAGTTCGGGGATTTATCATTGCCAAGTTTGATGATCAGAGGGTATTCCATCAAATACCCCCATGAATTCCCATGAAATCCCATTACTTTATATAATTTCCGCGAAATACAATCAATTCCCATATAAATGAACTCACCATTAATTCACTATCAAATCCCATGAAATTATCATTAAATTCAATGAAATCATCATTGAATGCCATCAAATCCCATCAAATCACCATAAAAATCACCAATGAATCCCATAAAATCACCATATAATCCCAATAAATCCCATAAAATCACCATATAATGATATATAATCCCATCAAATCCTATAAGATTACCATATTTCTTGGCCAGATCTTCGGCCAGGCCAGTGGCTTCCTTCAGGCCATCGCCGAGCGGAAGATCGCGTGCCGCAGCGCGGGGGAAGTTTCGGCCCTCTGTGCCGCGGTTCAAATGCTGGGAGTTCCATGGGGATTTCCATGGGGATTATTTATAGTTGGGTACCCACTAAAAATGGTGATTTCTAGTTGGCGAACTGGAAAATTGTGATTTAATCAATTTAATAGCAAAGCAACTATAAATCTGGATAATGGTGGGATTTATCCATGGTTTATCCAGATTTTTATATCCCATGGTGGGAATATCCAGATAAATAATCCCCTACAAGGGTTATCCCAATGGTTATCACTATTTTCCATAACTGGGATTGAACAATACCCTCTGGTAAACTAAGAGTTTGCGAACTGGAAAATGGTGATTTATAGTGAGCTTTCCCACTAAAAATGGTGGATCTTTCCATAGTTGTGTTAGTTTATTTAATATAATGTCAACCCTGGATTAAGAAACCCCAAACGACTGTTTAATTGGGAAGGTACCATACAAAAGTATCAAATCATTACTGGGGAATACCCCTGAATTAATAAACCATGGTTTATTAATCCGGGGTTGACATTATCTGGATAAATTATAACGACCTCACTGTTCTCCCTCACTGGAATCATGGTTAGTAGGGGTAACTATCCCAAAATAGCCTTATTCAAATCAGTGAAGTGAAATATTATAATTTACCCAGATGTATCATTACCATTATCATTTTATGTAGGGATTAATGGTATTATAATGAGGATTATATGGAACCTAATCGGGATTGTATGGAATGATTATATGGAATGATTATATGGCATGATTATATGGAATGATTATATGGAATGATTAATACCTTATCATTATCATTATCTGGGGATTCTATGGAACCTAATGGGGATTATAAGGGGAAGCTAATGGGGATTATGGAATCACTTCGTGAAAATTCCTACTTGGTGGCGAACTACGCACGAATCGTAAGTAGGTTAGTTCACCATAGTTATAAGTGGATTAATTAAGCTTACTTATCCCATAGCTTGTATGTATAATATATATATATGTATTTATATATACACATATATATATACATATGTAATTATGTATATATATATGTATATATATATGTGTATTGTATTACAATATCACAGCCAACAATCATCAATCATCTCCATGGTTAACCATAGAGATTTCTCAGAGTTCGCCATAGATTTCCCATTGGTGGTCAAATCCTTGCATGGGTCAAAACCTATTATAAGTACTATATTTTATTTGGGGTAAAAACATGGAGAAACCCATCCATTCACCTGCGACGTTGGTAACCCTTGTCGAGGTGCGCAAGTGGACGCCATGGCCCAGCTCCTACCAGAGGTGAAGCGAGTCATCCAGGAAGCAAAGCTGGTGCCGCCACCGGAGGCCGAACGGGGACCCGAACGGGTTGGCAGGTGATTGAACCTGCATCACGAAGAAACATGTGAGCAATACATCGCGATCCTCAGGTATAAGGGAACATGTGTTTTGGCCAGCTGACTGGAATTATCCCTGTTTTTTCCAGGGCGCACAGCAGATGCCACTGGAAGTGAAGGTAGTGGAAGTTGTGGATTTGCTGGAGAAGCTTGGAGTCGGAGTGTTGGGACACCATGGCCTTCAATTTCACGAAGGGTCGCCACATGTTGATCACTGCATCAAGATACATCAGGCTTCAATATTTCATAGTATTTCATAGTATTTCATAGTATTTCATAGTATTTCATAGTATTTCATAGTATTTCATAGTATTTCATAGTATTTCATATAGTATTTCATATAGTATTTCATATAGTATTTCATATAGTATTTCATATAGTATTTCATAGTATATTTTATGACAAACAACCAGAACCAGCTCAGAAATTGAACCCCGCACACAGACGTCAGAAGATCCCTACCGCTCTGGGTGGCCGGACCCCCCGAGGAAGATGTGCAGTGGTTTGGAGTCGTCGTCCTTTCGGCCTTTCTTCAAAGCCCAAGTGCCTGGGTGGCGTGATGCCCGGGAAGCCCGGGAAGGTCCAAGTGAAAGGTAACAGCTAACCGCAGCTAACCCCATGGAAAAGGCAAAAAAGTGGAAACAACATGAACACCCACTATATAAATCTAAATAATGGGAATGGTGCTTTGAATCTTTTTTGGTGGTTGCTAGACTTCAGGAGAAATGGTTGGATCCAGCCGCTTTTTGCAGCAACAAAATCCCCGGGATGCCGTTGTGGATGAGTTTTTCTTGGGAGGACACCAACCGGGTCACCAAGCCCTGTTTTTAAGATCTCAGGGACGCATGAAAAGGACCCACCATCCATCAGTTTGAAGAGACTGCCAATAGTCACTCAATACCCTCTGGTAATTTAACATAGCTATTGAAAATGACCATAGAAATAGTGGATTTTCCCATAAAAAATGACAATTTTCAATAGCTATGTTAAATTACCAGAGGGTAGTCCAAGTCAGAGCAGTGGTTTCTGTTCTGCCAAGCAAAACATCTGAGGCTAAATGCGTAGAAAAAACATCCACCTCGTTTGCGCTGATTTTGCTTCTTACTTGCCACAACATGAATGCTCCGATAAGGGCTTCAAACCTGAAGAATCAACATCTGCGCACCTCCCGGTTTTTGTTGGCTGATGTATGATGTGTATATAATTATATAATTATATATATAAATGATATGATATAGCCCCATTTACTGCCGAAACAATCTGAAGCAAATCGACCTTCCACCAGAAATATGGCGGGCACGATTTTTTGCAAGTCCTTATTGTTTCTGATTTGATGGTACCAAACAGTATTTTTCTCTAAACCTCCAATGAGTGTTTGTGTGGAATAACATTATGAACAAGGAGAACGCTGCCATAGGACATGGGATACACCAATGCCATATCTTCCGTTGAGTTCGATGATTTTCCCAGCTATAAACCTGCATTCATAGGTGATTTCCCACTGCTACGTTCGATTACCGGAGGGTATACTCCATTAATTCATATGTCATTACTGTTCCATTAAATCTCATTAATGTTCCATTATATTCCCATTCTATTGCCATTATATTCCATTTTATATTCCCACTATATTCCCATTCTATTCCATTGTATTCCCATTGGAATATACTGGGAATATCATGGGAATATAGTGGGAATCCACTATTCCATGAATTTCCATAGTGATTATTCCTTATGAATACCACCATTTAAACATATTTAAACCAGCATTTCTTCCCCATCTTTCCCACTGCCAAAAAAATCCCCCAGGAACGCCGTGACGACGAGTTTCGCAGTCTGCGGGTCTGCCGTTCCTTCGGCAGCGCCACGTCCTTTGACGTGGAGCTGGTGCGCTGGGGCGATGCGCAGGCGGTTTTGTTGGATGGTGAAGATCATGTTGGGGATATACAATTCTATATATGGCAGTGTGTCAAAACCTTGTACCCCTGGTGAACATCAAAATAGCTGGTAAATGGATGTTCATCCCACTAAAAATGGTATTAATAGGTATTGATCCATACCCATATTATATACCATCTGGATCCATCTGGTTATTTAGCATAGCCATGGAAAGATCCACCATTTTTAAGAGGTAAACCATCTATAAATGGGCCATGTTCCATGGCTATGTTAAATAACCGGAGGGTATATATACATATATATATAATGGGGTGGTAAAGAATTAACAATGGGTTCACAATGGTGAAGAATGGGGTGATAATGGGATATACCCTCTGGTTATTTAACATAGCCATGGAAAATGGTTCATGTATAGATGGTTTTCCCAGCTAGAAACCTCCATTTATAAGGGATTTTCCATGGCTATGTTAAATAACCAGAGGGTATATAATGTGGTTAAAACAATGCCATAAACCACCCATGACTGGGAATTGTAACCATACCACCTATCTATGGTGATGACTGGGGGATGGTTTATTATTGCTTTAACCACATTACATATGTATTGTTGGCCTCTTTTCATCGGGGAATAGTGGGGGATATTGATAAGCATTTGGGAGCCAGTTGAAGCCAGGCATTGATTATTTATGAACCTGAGGATTAGACAAGTCCCACTGGATTGCTGTCGGGTACGATTTCTTGGGTGAGATGTTTCAAACATAGAATCTTGCAACACTGTGTGACGGCCACTGGAAGTTTACCTACATATTCCTGCACTTAGGTTATCCAACATGATGGATAAAATCTGATTGACTCAATGACTCATTTTTTTTCCCGAAGTAACGTGGTAAACCCAATAGTTAATAAACCATCCCCAGTATTGCTACCATCAATGGCTGGGAAACGAATGGTATAATTGTTTATGGCACGGGCTTTACCACATTATCATGTTTCATCTGTTGTCTCCGCAGATGATCCCAACTGCCAAGTGCGTATCATGCACATCCATCTCTTATATGTTGCCAGAAATAGCAGTTCATGCTTCATAAGTGTTTTTTTTCCCAGTTATAACCCAGAAAATCACTGGGGATGTATTGAGATATGTATAGATATGTGGTTTTTAGCCACTAGTACGAAGAATCCCCAGTTTCACTAGAAATGGGTGCAATAAAACCCTCCCAAAAATTCTTATTGCCAGGAAGCCACCCCCGAGAACTTCGCCGCCGCACTCTTCGGAGCCAGTGGCAAGCCGCGCAACGCGGCAGAAGCGCAGTGGCAAAGAGAAACTCAGCTGGTTTCAGATCAGGAAATGCTTGAGGGATAACCAGCTACCATGGGAATGAGCGTTGTGAATGTAGTTGTTTTATGATTAAAACACCAATAGATTTCAAATTCTAAGCAGTTCACGAACAACACAGACGTAATAATTAACACATTTGAACAACTTCTACCATGGGAATGATGATTGCTCATGTGTTTCATATTTGAGTTACATACTAAATGACTAAGCAGTTGACAAATGTTGACAAACAACATTGACAAACAACATTGACAAACAACATTGACAAACAACATTGACAAACAACATTGACAAACAACATTGACAAACAACACACTGGTTGGTGGTTTGGAACATCAATTTTATGACTTTCCATATATTGGGAATGTCATCATCCCAACTGACGAACTCATATTTTTCAGAGGGGTAGGTCAACCACCAACCAGCACATGTTTGATAAGCCATGTTGATGATCATTCTCTGATACCTACATGGCTGGAACATCCCAACTCTTCATGGGAGCAAAATGGGTGATGTTGGCAGCCGTCGCGTTCCAGGCATGGGACTGTCCTGATTGAATCGAGTCTGCGAAAATAAAATAGTTACCCTCTGGTAAACTAACATAACTATGGAAAATCACCATTTTTAATGGGTAAATCAACTATCAATGGCCATTTTCAATAGCAAACTGTTAGTTTACCAGAGGATAACTATTTTAGTTATCAGTACAAGATTGCCCCAAGCATCCAACAATGGTGAAGCCAAGCAGTTGATGGGGATATTTGATGAGATATGTTTGGTCGATGCAAAACATGGGTGCAGCAAATTGGTTATTGGATGTTATTGGTAGTATGTTGGTATCGCAGTCCAAAGATATTCAAAGGATGAGTAGATTATGTTGAAACAAGATAGACTAATATCTTAAATCCACGCATTGCTCAAGAGATCTCAAAACAATCATTCTCCAGAAGTTTTTGCTGCACATGAATTCCAGCCATTTAATCATCTATAACTGTCTATAACCAGTGGCTTATAGATATATATATATATAATATATATATATATATCAGTGGCTTAATCATCTATAATCAGCTTCACCAGTGGCTTATCCCAAATTTCCGACTCCTAGCGTAGGAGCTCTTCTATCGTATCTTTCTGACCGATGCCAGCAGATATGTGGCAGGCCGGCAGCAAGTGTTCGTGGGTTTCCCATGGCCCAGGGTACCTTGCAACAATGCTGATGATGGTGGGTGTACCATTAAGAACATATTTATCTGCAACGTTAGGTATCTAGAGTCTAGAGACTGTGAACGAAGAGATTTGAATAGATTAATACTGACTAATGAATGAACTGCTTAGATTTACCAATGTGTATATATATAATATATACGTATATATGTATATATGTATAGTAACAGATAACATGTACCCCGAATATCCCAGGCGGAGAGGTGTGCAATCACGAGGAAATGCATATCTCCCATGCCCTAGGAGCTGCATGGCTTCTGCTGAGGGCTGGAATGGCAGGACCGTTGCGATTGCAGCATGAAGGACACGGACGGGCACATGGCTTTTGTGGGGATTGAATCATCAACAGTCTGAGACTTTAACGATCACAATCGGGAGCAAACTGTTTCGCATTGCGAGGGAATGGTGCTTGCTGTGCTTGCGAATTACAGTGTTTAAAAACAAGACCTAAGAGTAGTCTGGTCTAGTTTCAAAGAAACACCGTATGATGGCAAATAGCCGTTCAAATAGCCCCAAAAAAATACCTGGTAAATAGCATTAAATAGCCCTATGTTTCAAAGAATACCTGGTAAATAGCTGTTAAAGTATACGTATGATGGCAAAAGGGTTAAAAAAAAACCCAAGGGGATCCCATTTCTTGGTCCAAGGGCTGCATCTCGGCCATTGTGGCTTCGTTGAACCGTTTAAGCCATGAGTATCACTGGGCTATAGTCCATGTATATAATATATTATGGTTATATGAACTCTAATATTATCAATAATTATCAATAATAACCATCAGTGGAAAAAAATATCCAACTTATTATGGTTGATAATTATCCATGAGTATCACTGGGCTATAGCTAGGCTTAGCAACTGGGTCCCGCACTCTCGAGTAGACCAACAGGTTGCTATTCAAAGGCTATTCAAAACCCATGGATTTTCCAGTTTTTTGGTATGTTTACTGAAGGGCAAACCGGTAAAGCCTATTTGCCAGAGTCAATATTTGATTAAAATCACATGAAGTCCCATGAAATCCCATGAAATCCTATGAAATCCTATATTAAGCCCATTGAATCCCAATAAATCTCATTAAATCTCATAGATTTCAATATTAATCCCATTATATAAATCCCAATTTCATTTTCATCTTAACCACGTTAATCCCATGAAATCGAGGGAACCCTGACAAGGCCGCGACGTCTTGGAGCTGGGCCTCGCGCGTGGCATGTTCTTCGCGCCGCCGCAAGCGGAGGGGCCCGCAGAGAACGGAGCTGCTGAGGCGAAGGGGTCAGCGAGTGGTGTACCAACCCCAAAATATGGGGATAATATTGTAGTATACTATGATGATACTATTTTATAGTGTAATTAATGTACTATTATAGTGTAATTATTAAATGTCTATCATTGTGGTATACGATTATTATACCCCATAGGATCCATCCATGGTGCTGGTATATATGCTAACATTGATTGGGGGTATATTGATGGGATCCATGGAGCACCATATATACCAGCACCATGGATCCTATGGGTACTATTATAGTGTAATTAATATACTATTGTAACGAATGATAGACATTTATTTCTTATATTATCATACTATTATGATAACCATAATAGTGTCATATACTATAGTAGTGTAGTATACTTAGTATACTACTATGATCTACTATACCCAAAGTGATTTAACCATGTGATAATAAGTAGTACAAGTAGTAATATATCACGTGACTAATAATAATCTAATCATATAATAGAAACATGTGGTAGAATATGGTATAGTATATATAATATATAGATAGCATGAGCATGATAATAAGATATAATAGCAATATAATGAGGTAATATATGGTGATATATAATACAATGGTTCATTAATATTTTCATGTGGCCATAATATATGGTAATCATCAATTTATACCCAAAATAACAGACCCGTATAATAATGTGGTATAATGAAAAGAATGATGAACAATTGATTTTGGGGGTCTACACTCTCTGGCTCAGTAAAAAAACATCATATTAGCATGATAATATACTAAGTAGTGTATTAATTAATGTAATGGTAGAACCAATATTGATATTGCTAATGGAATATATCATACCAATATATGGAGGTTTCCTAAAATTGTGGTACCCCCAATTCATCCTTTTTAAATAGGATTTTCCATTCTAAACCATCTATTTTGGGGATGCCCAATTTATGGCAACCCCCATATGTGCTTAGTATAGTGATTTATCCACTGGCCATCTGGATTTTTCAGCCAGCCATCAACTTTGGCTGCTTGATGGGTTGATTTGCGCAATCAATGGAGCACTCTTGGTATCCCAATAAGACTTCAGAGCTTCAGTTCTCATAGTATGAACTCTTTAGATGTAATATATATATACATCATATAACTATTATATTTTTGATATCTATATACATCTTATATATCTATATATATATATTCCCAATCACATGGGGTTTGGTCTTACCACCACTTCGGCCGCTTGACCAGCAGGCCGCTTCGGCTGATGCCTTAGCCATTTGCAGCGGCGAGGATCGACGGCTCGTGGTGCTGCCATCCTTTGGGTCGCTGGGCATCATGCACCACTGGCTGCTGCTGAAGGTGGGGCCCTAATGACCGCTGGTGGTTCTGAAGCCCCGTTTTTGAAAGATTGGATAATTATATAATCATCAACCATATCTATGATATCTATGATATCTATGATATCTATGATATCTATGATATCTATGATATCTATGATTATATGATCTGTTATTCCATCCCTGATGATTATATAATTACAATCATAATGTGTCATAGATATACATATAAGGATGGAGTTTTGTCATTAACATTCATTAACCAGGATGAAATGGAATGACGCAACTCGGGTTTTGAAACCCTGCTCGGCTAGGCACATCGGGTTGAGTAATAGAGACTGCAACCACAATTTCAACAATCATTTCTTGGAAAGTGTATGAGAACTCCACATTGGCGTCTTGGTCAAATTGTTGGCACATCTTGGGGACTTGGGGCCTGCAAGAATGATTTGATAGATTGCCTTTTTAAGATGAGTAGACAGGGATAGGGTATCCCCCATGAAATTGACATAGTCTTAAGGTAAATAATGACCAACCAACCGAACTCAGTTTCCATTTTTTCCAGGACGTCATGGACCCAACCCGGGGCGGTTCAACATGTGTCAGTTTCTGGCCACAGTTCAGATAATATAATTAATAATCATAGATATCATAGATATGGTTGATAATTGATAATTATATAATCATCAGGGATGGAATCAGATCTTCTGAAACTTGCCATTTCGGATTGGGATGAAATCAGGCTGGTTCCAGCAGCAGTGCTGCCATCCGCATCCAGCAAGGTATCGACTCTGTAGGCCTATCAGCCCAAGCAAAAAGCTTTGGGACTGGGGGATAGAAAACACGGCAAACAAATCAACAAAAAACAACCAGATCCGCTGAAATACAACCAGAATGTGTGTTTCACAAAATGTCAGATTCTGTCAGATGTTAGATTTTCAGGCTTGGCAAGTGTAGCATGTCCAATTTGATTAACCAACTATGCCTTGGACAGATCAAGAAAATTTTGCAAGTCCCGAAGCCAGTCCACGAAGCTCACATCGTGGATTGGCTTCCTGGAAAAGTTGAGATTTGGGAAGTCTCCCATTGATGAAGTTGATGGGAACAAAACTGGTTGCTGGTTTGGAACATGGCTTTTATGACTTTCCATATATTGGGAAATTCATAATCCCAACTGACGAACTCCATGATTTTTCAGAGGGGTAGGTATACCACCAACCAAAAAAATCAACGAAACACTACTAAGCAAGAAGAATTGCTTCATAGTGAGCCATGATATAAGCCTATGATTGGTTGACACTCATCCAAGAAAGCCACCCATGAATGCCACAGGTGAGCGGAGGGGAGACCCTTGCCATCGATCTTTGCCACTAGGAAGACACAGAGGTTGTTGATCATTGAGTCGTTGGCAGTGCAAAAAATCCCTTCGGTAATCCAATGAATTTGTTTCCCCTCAAGAATATGGTGATCAAACAAAATAATTATCATTTGTCTTTCTTTTCTAATAACTAGCTAAGCCATGTCTGTCTGGCTGGGAAGTCCGTATTTGTTCCAAGCAGTACAGTATTTTGGACATGGATGTACCCTTCGGGAATCAAACATGGCACTGGAAAACCATCCATTTAGATTTAGTTCGATGATTTTCCCAGCTAGAAACTACTTCCATTTCCGGTGGATTTCCTATAGTTTTCCCTATTTTTTCCTATGATGTTCCCACTGTTTATAAGTGATTTTCCAGCTAGCCATGTGCATCCAAAAAGTTGATGAGTAAGATGAACACTCTGATCATGGATAGGAAATTCATCCGCTGGAATGAACATAAAATCATTATGACACAGATGAATAACTATATGGTATGTATATTTTCTGTACGTACGATGTGTATTATATATAATTACCGTGATTATATATACACATGCAAAGAAATTTGCAGTGTCAGGTTAGCTTACCACAGGATCTATGGATATATCCCCCAAAAAAACATATCTACATGGCTTGCAGGACATCCAAGGTTATACTTGTGAAAGTTACCGATAAATCATAGGCTTTTATAGAATGGATGGAGTGGAACCTCCATAATCTATCTATTTTTCTTGCTGGAATTTCGAGAAACTATGGACATTTTTTTTTTCAAAGATCTATTGTATTCTATTGATTCCCAAGAATCCCATTGCTTGTGGCTTTTAATGGGATCCAATGTACAGTCCAGTTCTCTTCTCGCTGCATCTCAGGTCCGGGCGCAGTGGCTCCGTCCCGCGTGCGGCTGCGAGTATGGCAGCACGAATCAGCGCCTCGGATTTTTTTTAAGGGGGTGGTTGGAAAATGGCCCATTTTGAATGGGAAATCTCACTATAAATATCTATCAATGGGGCCCTTGGGGACTTACCCGGCCTGGTAAACGTTGAGTTTGCGAACTGGAAGATGGAATGGCCCATAGTTAAATAGTGAGTTTTCCCATGAAACATGGTGATGTTCCATAGTTATGTTAGTTGACCAGAGGGTAACTATTAACTCAATAGATGAACTATAGTCATATCATATCCTATATTAAAACCCTGGGCCCAACAGTTCACAAAGTTATAAACCAACTTAGCTATCAGGGGGCCACCTTGTGACCGAAACAAGTGCCGTTTTGGAGATTTTTGTTCACATCACCTTCAAGTATTTGTTGGAGATTATATCCCCAGTACTTGGGTAATGATCAATTATTAGGACATTTAACAACCCCTATTCTTTTGTAAGTAAAACCACTAGTCACTATTTCTGTGGGAGTGGTTCAATCACTGTTTGCTGGGCAAAGTCTTAGTTTGCTGAGTTGCTGGTCAACCCATTACATTTTTGTTGAAGCATCATTAGTTCGAGTGGAGACCCATTAATTATCGTATAAATGTCGGTTGAATCAGCATTATTGGTCGATGAAATCAAAGTCACCATTCTGAGGATAGACAAAAAACAACTTTGGGAGCTTACCCTCTGGTAAACTAACATAAGTATGGAAAATCACCATTTTTAATGGGAAAATCCACTAGAAATGGTCATTTTCAATGGCTTTTTGTATGTTTACCAGAGGGTAAGTCCCCAATCTGGTTGATTCAACCATTACGCCCATGGTTGCTTGGCTCAACCACCTTTCTCCTCCATATTTTAGTTTCTCAAATTGGCTAAATGGGTTTGCCGAAAAAATGTGGATACCAAACATAATATATCGCACCAAAAATCGCACTATTGTTGGTGATATCCCACTAGATCCCCATTAGGGCCCCATAAAATATATAGTTGGTTTAATCCCCATTGTTTCGGGATGAGGTGCCACAGAAAAACACACATGCAATGGATCAACGCATTTGTTGGGCAAAATCTCATATTAATGATTGGTTTTAAACCTATTTGTGTTTGCCAATTCCATGGTTGGTCATCATTTTTATTTTGTTTCCAATGTTTTCCCCATAAAAATTGCGTAAGCTGACCATTTCAAGATATTTTAATATAGGTTTTGGTTGGTTTCCCTATGTTTTCCCCATTCAAATGCGTAAGCTGACAATCAACAGATCTTCTACGTCGGTTTTGCTTGGTGATATTTCCATTTAACATCATTTAACCCACATCTTCTCATGTTTTCCTGATTGAAATATATTCAAATGGCATAGGCTGACCAGATCTGACCAGAACTTCGCCCTTCTGGATAGCTCCAACGGCCCAGGACTCCCGCTACATCCTTCGCAGCGCTCACTTTAGCGACGCTGCCGACACTGCGGTTGTTTCGGGGTCCGAGTCGCGGCAGATGCGCGAAGCCCTGCGAAGATTGGCGGAAGGCCATCGGGGGAGTGGACAAAACATGGAAAAAAACGAGGTTGGAAGTACAGTACAAGCTCCAATATATCTATATAAATATAAGTGTAATATAGTGTAATGTATAGTATTACATAGTATTACATAGTATTACATAGTATTATTATATATAATTATATAATATATACATATGGATTATATAATAGTATATACAATATAAATATTGGTGGATTATCTATATAGATATTGTAATATATCAAAAACCCACAGCATATTATTATTATTGTTATTATTATAATATATATATATTGCATCTCATGATTACAATATATACTGATATATAACATTTCATAACATCCGATAAGATAATTACGCATATGTTGAAGTATACATTGATTTAGGTAACCACTGATTCCTTGCTTATTTCATATCATATCATATTCTCTATCCACGTGCATACATATACTCCGTATATTGGCTCGTCATCGATTTTTCCAGTGGAATTCTTGAAAGCATTGCTGCACCTTGCTGGGTCGAACGAGCAGGGTCGCAAAGGGTTTCAAGCAATCAGTGGACTTTCTTGCTTTTGTAAGGCTGGATCATTTGGATACAAGCCCAAACTAGGTACTGGTACCCGAAACTGCCGATTGTAGTAAAGGGATGTAAAGGGTATCTCCAGCCGAATTCCTAACCCTTTCGTGCTTCCTTGTTTGGGGCCACTCCACCATTTTTATCTGCCAATCCGCCCATCCTGTCGCACTCTTGTTGGTACATACTCCCTCTTTGTAAATACGCAATTGTTATATCGTGGCTTTCTAAAATGGGGGTACCCCCAAATCTTCCAAAATCAGACCATTTTAGCCATTTGAAGAAACACCCATATAGGTATGGGTCAAAGGATGGTTTACCAACTCATTTGCGATGCCCAGGGCCCTATTATTTTGACCCGTACCGGCCCGTGCCCAAGCTTTTGTTGTGGTCTCTGATACTGGCATATGAATTATACCCCCATTGCCAATTGTTGGTTAGTAGTTATTAGCTATCATGGTTAGTAGTTATTAGCTATCATAATGGTTCAATATGCTTCAATAATTCCCATTATCCTTGTTTTTCATTTACCCGCAGTCAAAATGCACATTCCTTCCCCTATTATCCAACTTGAACCAGGCAGTGGCATGAACCTCTCCCAGGGTCAACTGGATGCCATGTTTGCTTCGCAGAAAGCGCCACACTCTATAGAGTCCTCGCCGCTAAGTCTGGAAATTGAACGGGTTGGAGTTGGGACTGCGGACATGGCGAAAATTTTGAGATTGGAGAATGCTGGGCTATGTTAAATTATATTGTCTGCAAAAAATAACTGCGACCGCAGTTGACCTCATAGATGAGGGCAACTGGGGATCATCCCCATCTGGCCTTGTTTCAAGGTAATTAATTTAGCCAGATATGGTTATATTGTAGTCAGACACTAAGGTATTGAATTATGTTTGTCATTCAATTATACTAAAGTCAGATATATCAACCACCAATCATTCAAATCCAGGTGCTTCGGTTCTGTTTTTTCCAACTGGTCAAATTGGTCAAATCAGGCGCCTTTTTGGTAATTTTTGGTCTGTTGATGAACCATGAAGTACTAATCTTTGCTGCTTCATAGCCCATGCTTTTCCCATCTTTTTCCGTCCCTGAAGGCCCTGTGCTCGGACCCAAGTTTTGCTGGTTGAATCCTTTCTTTGTTTGAAATGTCTGTTGTTTTTCGTTGCATAAATCCATTGGAATCCCTATTGCTGTTGCTTGCATCCCGAATTTCGAAGTAGATCCATACGTAATTCACAAATCCATGTTGCTCCAATCACAATTGCGTTGCACATATCCGTTCAAATAAAGCATGGTTTATCATCGTCTTGCCCATTCAAAAGGCAATTTTTTGAGCATTCCCCATTTTGAGACAACCCCAAGGGTATTGTCGGTTGTATATCCCATTACATTCCCATTGCATACCCATTGCATACTGATTACATACCACTTGTATTCATAACATAGACCCGGGCAAGCCGGCGGCGGAAGTTTCCCAAACATAAATGACCTATAGTTCGACGCCAGCCTGTCCCGACCGTGTCCTTCCCTCGACAAGCGGCTTTTTTTTCAGCGAGAGACGAAGCAAAGTCTTCACACTCCACACTTCGCACTCCACACTTCGCACTTGCACACTTCACACTTCTCACTTTTCGCTGCTGCCTTCACACTACAAACCTCACACTTCACACTTCACACTGCGCTCTTCGCACTCCAAACTTAAACTTCACACTCCACACTTCACACTTCACAGTTCACACTTCTCACTTCCCACTGCTTCCTTCTCACTTCGCACTTCACACTCCACACTTCACAGTCCACACTTCACACTCCACACTTCACACTCCACACTTCTCACTTCTCACTGCTTCCTTCACACTCCAAACTTCACACTTCACACTTCTCACTTCTCACTGTTGCCTTCACACTCCAAACTTCACACTTCACACTTCACAGTCCACACTTCACACTTCTCACTGCTTCCTTCACACTCCAAACTTCACACTTCTCACTCCACACTTCACAGTCCACACTTCACACTTCTCACTTCTCACTGCTGCCTTCACACTCCAAACCTCACACTTCACACTTCACACTCACACTTCGCCCTCCAAACTTAAACTTCACACTCCACACTTCACACTTCTCACTTCCCACTGCTTCCTTCACACTGTACACTTCACACTGCACTCTTCACACTCCACACTTCACACTGCACTCTTTGCACTCCAAACTTCACACTCCACACTTCACAGTCCACACTTCACACGTCTCACTTCTCACTGCTTCCTTCACACTCCAAACTTCACACTTCACACTTCGCACTGCACTCTTCACGCCCCACACTTCACACTGCACTCTTCACACTCCACAGTTCATCTCATCTGAGCTCTTCTCACCTTATCCCAGCTCATCTCTTCTCATCTCGTCCCTTCTCATATGTCATCTATTAAGCTTTCATTAATCAATTCCCAGCACTACTACTAATCACTGTCGAACCCTTGATGCACCCGCTCCAATACGATTTACGAAGTCCAGTTGCAAAAGACAATAGTATTGCGCATGCAGCCGCGGCACCAAGCAACCTTGACGCAGCCATTACAATGCGATCTGCAAAGACTGAGTTGCAAAACACAATAGAACTACGCGCAACTGGGTCGGAAATTGTAGCTCCAAAACCGGGTCTCGACGCCAAAGCGAAAAAAAGACGATTTTGAAGCACTTTTCAAAAGAATTTTTAAAAAGAAAATCAGTGGCGCCAAAATGGAGAAAATCTGCTGACAAATCACTGTCGCAGCCTTCATGCAGCCACTCCAATACGATTTACGAAGTCCAGCTGCAAAAGACAATAATATTACGCATGCAGCCGTGGCAAGAAGCAACCTTGACGCAGCCATTACAATGCGATCTGCAGAGACTGAGTTGCAAAACACAATAGAACTACGCGCAACTGGGTCGGAAATTGCAGCTCCAAAACCGGATGGATCTCGACGCCAGAGCGAAAAAAAGACGATTTTGAAGCACTTTTTAAAAGGATTTTTCGAAGGAAAATTACTAGCGCCAAAATGGAGAAAATCTGCTGACAAATCACTGTCGCAGCCTTCATGCAGCCACTCCAATACGATTTACGAGATCCAGCTGCAAAAGACAATAGTATTACGAATGCAGCCAAAGCAGGAAGCAACCTTGACGCAGCCATTCCAATGCGATCTGCAGAGACTGAGTTGCAAAACACAATAGAACTACGCGCAACTGGGTCGGAAATTGCAGCTCCAAAACCGGATCTCGACGCCAGAGCGAAAAAAAGACGATTTTGAAGCATTTTTTACAAGGATTTTTAGAAGGAAAATTACTAGCGCCAAAATGGAGAAAATCTGCTGACAAATCACTGTCGCAGCCTTCATGCAGCCACTCCAATACGATTTACGAGATCCAGCTGCAAGAGACATTACGCATGCAGCCAAAGCAAGAAGCAACCTTGACGCAGCCATTCCAATGCGATCTGCGGAGACTGAGTTGCAAAACACAATAGAACTACACGCAATGGCGTCGGAAATTGCAGCTCCAAAACCGGATCTCGACGCCAGAGCGAAAAAAAGACGATTTTGAAGCACTTTTTAAAAGGATTTTTAGAAGGAAAATCACTAGCACCAAAATGGAGAAAATCTGCTGACAAATCACTTCCGCCGCAAAGGTAGATCATCGAGGTTCGGGGACGGACTTTGTATGGAAAAACATAGGTTTCGTGCATCTGCTATCTCTCAAAGATGCATTTCGTGCGAGACTTCCTCCAAAACTCCATCGGCAACTCATCCACCAGCACCACTTGCAACCCCATTTACAATGCGGGAACGATCCTACAGTCCACACATGCACGAAAAACAGTTGAAACCCCATTTACAATGCGGAACCGATCCGAGACCGATCCGAGAATATCCGAACATGATCCGACCACACACGAGACCGTCTCGCACCCGTCGCACCGCAGAGGTAGATCATCGACGTTCGGGGACGGACTTTGTATGGAAAAACATAGGCTTTCGTGCATTTGCTATCTCTCAAAAACGCATTTCGTGCGAGACTTCCTTCAAAACTCCATCGGCAACTCCTCCACCAGCACCACTTGCAATCCCATTTACAGTGAGGGAACGATCCTAGAGTTGCAAATCACAATGCAATTCCATCAGCAACTCATCCACCAGCACCACTTGCATCCCATTTACAATGCGGGAACGATCCGACAGTTGCAAATCACAATGGAATTCTGTCGACCACACATGCACGAAAAACAGTTGACACCCCATTTACAATGCGGAACCGATCCGAGAATATCCGCCCATGATCCGAACATGATCCGACCACACACGAGACCGTCTCGCACCCGTCGCACAGCAGAGGTAGATCATCGACGTTCGTGGACGCACTTTGTATGGAAAAACATAGGCTTTCGTGCATCTGCTATCTCTCAAAAACGCATTTCGTGCGAGACTTTCTGCAAAACTCCATCGGCAACGCCTCCACCAGCACCACTTGCAATCCCATTTACAGTGAGGGAACGATCCTAGAGTTGCAAATCACAATGGAATTCCATCGGCAACTCATCCACCAGCACCACTTGCAACCCCATTTACAATGCGGGAACGATCCTACAGTTGCAAATCACAATGGAATTCTGTCGACAACAAATGCACGAAACACAGGTGACACCCCATTTACAATGCGGAACCGATCCGAGAATGATCCGAGCATATCCGACCATGATCCGGCCACACACGAGACCGTCTCGCAACCGTCGCACCGCAGAGGTAGATCATCGAGGTTCGGGGACGGACTTTGTATGGAAAAACATAGGCTTTCGTGCATCTGCTATCTCTCAAAAATGCATTTCGTGCGAGACTTTCTGCAAAACTCCATCGGCAACTCCTCCACCAGCACCACTTGCAATCCCATTTACAGTGAGGGAACGATCCTAGAGTTGCAAATCACAATGGAATTCCATCGGCAACTCATCCCCCAGCACCACTTGCAATCCCATTTACATTGCGGGAACGATCCTACAGTTGCAAATCACAATGGAATTCTGTCGACCGCACATGCACGAAAAACACTTGAAACCCCATTTACAATGCGGAACCGATCCGACCATGATCCGACCATGGTCCGAGAATGATCCGAGCATGATCCGACCACACACGAGACCGTCTCGCAACCGTCGCACCGCAGAGGTAGATCATCGAGGTTCGGGGACGGACTTTGTGTGGAAAAACATAGGCTTTCGTGCATTTGCTATCTCTCAAAAACGCATTTCGTGCGAGACTTCCTCCAAAACTCCATCGGCAACTCCTCCACCAGCACCACTTGCAATGCCATTTACAGTGAGGGAACAATTTCTTTGCTAACTCTTTCTGTGACTACCTCTTTTCCTCACCAACTCTTTCTTTGACTACCTTGTTTCTTTGCTAACTCTTTCTTTGACTACCTCATATATCCTGACTAACTCTTTCTTTGACTAACTCTTTCCCTCACTAACTCTTTCTTTGACTAACTCTTTCCCTGACTAACTGTTTCTTTGACTAACTCTTTCTTTGACTAACTCTTTCCCTGCCGACCTCTTTCTTTGCTAACTCTTTCTGTGACTAACTCTTTCCCTCACTAACTCTTTCTTTGACTAACTCTTTCCCTGACTAACTGTTTCTTTGCTAACTCTTTCTTTGACTAACTCGTTCCCTCACTAACTCTTTCTTTGACTAACTCTTTCCCTGACTAACTCTTTCTTTCCCTGACTAACTGTTTCTTTGCTAACTCTTTCTTTGACTAACTCTTTCCCTCACTAACTCTTTCTTTGACTAACTCTTTCCCTGACTAACTGTTTCTTTGCTAACTCTTTCTTTGACTAACTCTTTCCCTCACTAACTCTTTCTTTGACTAACTCTTTCCCTGACTAACTTTTTCTTTGACTAACTCTTTCTTTGACTAACTCTTTCCCTGACGAACTCTTTCTTTGCTAACTCTTTCTGTGACTAACTCTTTCCCTCACTAACTCTTTCTAACTCTTTCTTTGACTAACTCTTTCTTTGACTAACTCTTTCCTTGACTAACTCTTTCTTTGACTAACTCTTTCCCTGACTAACTGTTTCTTTGACTAACTCTTTCTTTGACTAACTCTTTCCCTGACTAACTGTTTCTTTGACTAACTCTTTCTTTGACTAACGGTTTCTTTGCTAACTCTTTCCCTCACTAACTCTTTCTTTGACTAACTCTTTCCCTGACTAACTGTTTCTTTGACTAACTCTTTCTTTGACTACCTCTTTCCCTGACGAACTCTTTCTTTGCTAACTCTTTCTTTGACTAACTCTTTCCCTGACATTCTAAAAGTCCGTAACACGGAAGTTTCTCCCCCTAAACTTCCTTTGATTATATATATATATATATATATATAATATTAGTATCATATCATATCAGATCAGATCATATGATCATATATTGCATCATTTTATCTCATAATATCTATATGATATTTGAGTCATTTGGGATGTCATATTCTATAAAATATTGTACATATTGTTCAATCGTACATTTATGTCATCATTTTATAGCATATATATATACATATATACACAGATTGGTGGTTTGCAACATTTTTTAATATGTCCATATATTGGGAATAATCATCCCAACTGACGAACTCATATTTTTCAGAGGAGTAGGTATACCACCAACCAGTATATATACACATAGTGTGCTATGTATCCACATGGTATCCCTGACCTTTTGACATGGCAGGGACGACCGCTGCCTGGCTGCCCTGCACGCTTGCGCGCGGCGCCAAGGGCTGCAGCTGGTTTCCGCGGACCTGGAAGCTGCGCACGAGGCGTGGTGGACCTGGTGGACCTGGAACAGTCTGACCTGGTTGGGGGGTTACCCTCTGGTAAACATACAAAAAAACTATGGAAAATCACCATTTTTAATGGGACAACTCACTATTTCAATGGCCATTTTCAATAGCTATGTTAAATTACCAGAGGGTACCCAACCATCACTGGTTGGGTAAATCAGCTTATTTTTAATGGGTAAATCAAGGAACTTTCGACTGGGCCATTTTCAAGTTCGCAAAGTGTAAACGTTTACCAGAGGGTAAATCCTCTATAAGTTACTTTAATGGAACATGAATTTTATGACTTTCCATATATTGGGAAGTTCATAATCCCAACTGACGAACTCATATTTTTCAGAGGGGTAGGTCAACCACCAACCAGAACATAATGTAACCATAAGAATCACATAAGAGAATATTTTTCATCACGGCCAGTTGTATTAGTTATAGTCATATTAGTTGGGTATACCTCTAAATGGCTTTTTTAATAGGGAACATGATTGTAATCCAAATAATCCAATGAATTTTGGGGTACACGATTTTCGGACAGACCCACCTGGTAGTTATGGGATTGAACAGTACCCTCTGGTAAACGTACAAAAAGCTATTGAAAATGGTGATTTATAGTTGATTTACCCATTGAGCATGGTGATTTTAGCTGTAGCTATGTTAGTTTACCAGAGTGTCTGAAAATAGGTACATCCCCAATTATAGCCATTGAATATGGTAAATGTATGATGAACCATTGGGTTTAGGGGTACACTGTTTTCAGACAAACCCAATATGAATCAATATGAGATATAGGGAGGATATGACTATAATATACAATGTATAACTGATAATATAAAACTACAATATGAATATCCTATAATATATAACTGATGATGGATCTGGATATTGTGGTTTATAGCTGGGACAGTCTATCGACAGTGATTACTAGTGATTAGTAACGATCAATAGTGATGATTTCTTGGGCTTTTTAAAGGTGATTTGGCTGATTTTCACAATGGGAAATCCACTACGACTGGGGAATCTATTTTATATATATATATAGGGAATATGTTTCATTTTTTGGGGAATTCCTTAAACAAATCCAAGTTTTCTATGTACTTCAATATGATATTATATAAATACAGCAGTATGTATAGTATAGCTATTATACAATATGGCTTACCCTCTGGTTTTCTTGAACGGTTTGCGAACTGTAAATTCCACCATTTTTAATAGATAAGTCAGTATAATCCATCCAGACATGAGCCATTTTCCATAGCTGAGGGACATGAATGAGACATGACTGGGAGTTGGTGAAAGAAAAGGGGATTGATCAAACATGGAATACATCCACTGTAAATTACGCTGTAAACGTGGAACATAGGGATTTAAACACAGTTTTTACGAAATTGCTTCGTGAAAAAAAGGAGAACTACCATTTTTAATAGGTAAATCATCATTTTATCATATATGTTCATGGGCCATGGCTTCCATAGCAAACTGTTAAATAACCAGACGGTAATAGTGATTTTTAATGGGACATGAATGGGGATACAATGTGGTTTATATAAGACGAACTATATATATATACACTGTATATATTTATATATATATACATAGTTCGAAAGCTAAATAGTGAGTTTTTTTCATTGAGTTGTCCCGCCTGCCTTCCCCTTTCTGCCCACAAAACCCCCTGTTATGGGTCAGTGTGGTAAGTAATTGCTTCATGTCCCTAGAGGTGTGGTGGATCAGTGGCGGGTCAGGTGCGGAAAGTATTTGCTTTATGTCCCCACTGTCCCCCCCTTCCCCTCCAACCCCCTCTGTCCCCATCAAAACTAGACCCCAAAGGAGGTGTGTGTGAAACGAATTTATGAATTTATGCCCAAGGTGATCCTGTTTTATGCCCAATGTGACCCCAATGTGCGCAGGAATAATTTATACCCAAAGTGTTTCAAAAATTGTCCCCTAATTGAACCCCTTCCATTAAAGGTAACGATGCAGTATATATGTATATATACTATTGTTGAAATTCATTTATTTATTGATTAATTGATTTGTTTACTTATATAAATATATAATAACATCATTATACATCCATACTGTATGTGTTTTACGTTTTACAAAAACCCATCAAATACCTACCCAGCATGGTTGCGTCACCATTTTGCCTATACAATCTTATCATATCTTAGAACCCACTGGCGAGGCTGCGGTGAAGCAACTGGTGCTGAGGAAGCTGCAAAGGTGCCAATATTTTTAATGTGATAATCGTAACAAAATTGATATGTGTGAATATGTGTGAATATATAAATAATTATATATATATGATTAATTATATCGTGTATGACATATGTTAAGACATGTATATATATATACATATGACACATCACATATGTAACGTGTAAACTTGGGATTGTCCGTTAAATGCAGGGTTCAGGTCTGTCCTATCAGGTGATATCCGTGGGGGCACATCATGGTTGGGACTCCTTTGCCTTCTTGAAGGATCATCCCACGAATCGTAAGTGGTAAAAAAAAAACCCTGGTGATTTTTTCAGTCCCCGTTGCGTGTATGAAATACCCTCTGGTAATTTAACATAGCTATGGAAAATCACCATGCTATTAATGGGAAAATCCACTATTTCTATGGCCATGTTCAATAGCTTTTTGTATGTTTACCAGGCCGGGTATCCCATTGATGGGGTGAACTATCCCCAGTCACTAGCCACTTATAGCGGATGGGATGATCCTCCAAGTTCTTCGGAGGCGCGGCACCGTTGTTGGTGCAGGTACGGCTTCGAGAAAGCGGCGCGCGAGTTCGGCGCCGAAAAACACGCCGTTTGAAACCGCCAAGGCTGACTTTAGCGAAGAATGTTTGGTGGGGGAACCACAAAAGTCGTGAGTGGGGATGAAAAGTCCCATATTTCCGGGATGTAACATGATGTAACCATGGTTGCTGACCACTAACTCATTGTCAAAATCATGGAAGTACCACTGACAGTTTGTATGTTTGGCCAATCTTAGCTTGGAAAAACTTCAGTTGTCTCCATTTTTCTCTTGCCAAAATCACCATCTTGAACGTCGATTTTGGGATGTTTTGAGTCACGTTTTCCTGGCAGGTCACCGATCTGCAGCTGATTTTGGGCACCAAGGTGCTGGTAATTCAACGATGGAAAAGCACCATTTTTGGTGAATCATCGAATGAAATCGGATGAATTCCATGATGATGTTGAATTACCAGAGTGTACAGAAAGGATGAAAAACAACATCAGACTGATCCCTGAGTATGATACACTGCCGAAAATTGGTTGAGGCGGAACTCCAGCAGGAGCTTTTTGTCTGAAGACCAACTGATACCAGCTTTGTCAACTGATTATTAAGAGATCCTTTGAGTATCCTCCAGCAGTGTGCAGTATTCATTCGGAAACCAACCGGGAGAACTTGAACTGTTCGAACATTTGCTCCAGATTCCCCCCAATGAGAAACGCCGAACAAAATCTAGGAACAGACATGATATAAAAGCAAGAAAAAACATATATTGAGCTATATATGAAACATGATCAGTCCATCAGCTCGTGGCCATCCGCCCGCCCCTCCACTCCCATGGCGCCTGACCGGGGCTGCATGCGCTGGCGCTGGCTGGCACTGGCAGCTGCTGGGGCACCCTGGAGTTTCGCAGTGGAGAGGAGCAAAGCCGTGCAGGTGAGGCCTGAAGGTCACCCCGGACATGAACCTCGGAGCAAAGATGAGCAAAGGGAGGGAAGAAGGCGGGATTTTGATGTTATTTTTTCATGGGGACATAGCTAACCAACAATTGAGAGGTTTTGCTGATATTTGGCTATCAAATTTTCAGAGACAGCCATATTTGGGTGAAATGGAGATAAAATTGAGGACCTTGAACACAAGTCGATGATGGTCAGAAATATAATGGGTGGTACTTGATGGTCTAGGGTTGCAGACTTCGCATATATGGTTTTTGAATGTTTTTGAGTGTAAGATGATGGAACATTTGGATATGAACCAGCATGAACCCGCCAAAATGGAGGTTAACCGACTGAAGCTGGAAGAAACGGGTCCACACCTGAAAATGGAAGACTTCCGAAAAGGGGAAGACCAATCATGGGACTGTTCCCAAGAAGAGGAGAATGCATTGCGCAAAGTGAATGCATCTCCTGAGACTGATTTCCACACAATCAGGTACATCATTATTGATCAAAACCTATGCCTATGATAGCACATCCAATGATACCCATTTACGATCAATCTCAAATTTTGATATGCACCTGGGCATGAGTTTTTCTTGCGGTCGGAAATCCCAACACCATCCATTACGTTTTGGTCGGTTTGGTCGGGAGCTCAAGCGTCGTTGATCAGGAGGCTGTTTCTGGTAGAGCTATATCATCATGCTGTTGAAACTATCTCAGTAATATCAGATCTACATATATCTACATGATTTCCCCGAGGGATGGCCTTCGCACGGATCTGAGGGCTATCGAACGATGAAGTCCAAGGTGGTCTCTCCGGGACATTCACGGGCCATAGGGATAGATCAAAATGCCACATTTGGGGGATGAAGATCCAGAAATCCCAGCGATTTTGCTGTGAAACCAGGGATTCCCAGAGGGACTCCCTGGGATTCCGCCCTCCATTGAGTCGAGCTGGCTTGGGATGTGAACCTTGGTGCTTCATCCCAAGAGTGGCTTAGTTCAAGCCGTGGGTTAGTTGCAGCTGGGCTTCTAACCTATACCTGGGATGAAGGCTCCACAGCAAACCGATCAACTTTGGATTGGTGAAATTTGCAGTTGACATTTTCCCAGCCATTGGGGAAACCAATGGTTTCCAGCTTTCCCATGGCTGTTCCTTTTCATCATCCCTTTTCCATCCGAAACCCCCAAGGGCCGACCTGTCAGGCGAGTTGGCGCTTCCGGGAGGAGGATGACGACAAACATCGCCTGTTGATGAAGCTGAGAAACCCTCAAACAAAGAGGAGCGTGGCGCTGGGAGCTCGAGGAAAGTGGATGTTTGTCGAGTTTCTTATGGGTTAAAGAATTTTACAGAAGATGTCGGGGACATGCAAAGCCATTCAAAGGCATCAATCATGTCCTGTTTGTTATTTTTTTGTATCAAAGGGTTTATTCTGAATATGTATGAAGTACCCTCTGGTAATTTAACATAGCTATTGAAAGTGGCCATAGAAATACTGGATTTACCCATTGAAAATGGTGATTTTCAATAGCTATGTTAGTCATTACCAGAGGGTATACCATGCCCAGCTTTAAACGCTGCTTTATTTAAGCGAAGTCGCCTTGTTGATCTGAGCCAGTGTGTCTGTCGAGTATGGCTTGAGACGTCCCAGATATCCCATGGATTAGATGCAAGCCATGGATCACCATTTTCAAAAGAAACATATTATTGCAGTATGAACAGTAGGATTGATATTGCGCAATATTGCACAGAGTTTGTGATTGAGGCTATATTGAACTATATTGTGTATAATATACAGCTGCCTATTTCATAGTGTACCATGTTTACTCAAATATGTTCTGACAATTTTATTGAGTATTATCTAATATACACAGTATACATATTTCATATTCATTGTTCTGAACCTTGTGCTTGGCCCTGGTCCCCTTAATCCCTTGTGAGGAGGGAGTTGGCGGAGACCGTTGCCGCGTTGCAGCAACGAAGACTGCTGACGGAAGCTAGGGAGTACACCCTGACCATCAAAGTGCTAGGGCAGTTAGGAGCAGCGGCGGCATCTAATGGGTGGGTGATGGTGGGTGACTGTGGATGGTTCAGAAATCCTGCACCAGGGTAACTATTGGGAATGGGATTTTGACGAGATGTTTACCATCGACCAACTGGTGCATGAGTTTTTTTTCATCCGCAGTACCTTCCAAAAATGGGGAGATTTCATGGGAAAATGCTAAGGATGACATGGGATTTATCGTTTTTTAGCTGGTTGGTGGTTTGGAACATTTTTTATTTTTCCATATATTGGGAATAGTAACCCCAACTGACTTTCATATTTTTCAGAGGTGTAGGTACACCACCAACCAGTTAGTTGTTGCTTCAAAAAACACGGTGTTCCTGCTGTTTCCAGCACCATAAAACACCCCTGGTTTTCCCCATCCTCGGACGGCATGGGCTTCCAATTTCTATGCCATGCCGTGGAGGACTGTGGCGCGAAGCCGTGGGCATGCTGCGAGACATGGAGCGTAACGGCGTCAGTCCGGACGTCATCACCTACAACGCCGCCATCATGGCGCTGTCCAGGAACAAAAGGTGGAAAGAGGTGCCACCACCTTGGCGTTGGCGCCTTAGGGCGGCGTTGATTTGGGCTTAGTTGAGTCATGTTTACCCTCTGGTAAACTAACATAACTATGGAGAATCACCATTTTTAATGGAAAAAATCCACTATAAATGGTGATTCAATAGCTATGTTAAATTACCAGAGGGTAATTGATAGTTAACAATGTTACATAAATCAAGAATAAATCACGGGGTGATAATTAATTATATAGATATCAAGAATCATCAAGACTAATCATGTGGTAAACTATTCCAATCATGTGGTAAACCCAATCATAATCTACTAAAACCATTTGGGTGATAATTAATGAGGTAAATTCAACAATAAACTATCCCCAATATTGCCATCATAAATGGGTTGTAAATATTATAATCCTCAAATGCTAGGATTATTGGGTTTGCCACATTGCAAGACATCATTTAAATCCATTTAATATGTTGTTTTTTATGATGATTTCTGGCTTTTGTCTCAACATGGGGTAAAACTAGATCATTTTGTGATCAATGTCCACCCTGGATGACAAATATAGACAGTACTTACTCCCCCAGTTGATCAATATTGCGGGCATTCTAAAGTTATCACCACTATGCGGACCTTTTGATGATTTGGACATAACGTGGTACAACATATGGAAGGAATGATCGCCATCTCTTTCCTAAGAATCGCCTGTGGACTGCTTTTTTTCCTCATTACCAGTACTAGGCCATCTTCATCTTTTGGGTATTCAGAGCCTTTTGTAGATCCATGCCAAGGGTCAGGTTCCCCATTTTGTCCACTCATGAAAATATCGGCTTAATCCCAATTTCTGCCAGTTGCTTAAATCAAAATCCCAAACATCGATCAAATCCCAAGTCTTTTGCTTTTTATCACCTAAATCTTCATTTTTTTGGTTGGTGAAGTCAGTTAAATCCTTTTTCATGGTGCACACATGTTCATCGGATCTTAGTGGATCACCATTCTGAAAAATCAAACAGGCCATTGAGCTGGTTGCTGAGATGTGGTCCGTACAGATCACCCCCGATGCTTGGCGAAAAACTTGGGTGGGGGGGTTGACCTTGCTTTGATGGTCAAAAAATCGGACCCTGTTTAACATTGTTTAAGCTACCCTCTGGTAAACTAACATAGCTATTGAAAATGGCCATTTATAGTTGATTTTCCCATTAAACATGGTGATTTTCCATAGCTATGTTAGTTTACCAGAGGGTACCATGTTTCTACTATGATCATCATTAACCATCCTGTTGTTTTGGGGGGGATATATCATTTTTGACCCGCGATTTTGACCGGCCATTGGAGGTTCTCTTAAACAAATATGGTCATTTAATGTCATTTAAACAATAAACTTGGGGAATGGAATATTGATGATGATATCATGGGATATGATAAACTACAGAATCTGGGGGGTACCATATTGACAAAGCAAGTTGAAACCACCAACAAATGGGTGTTGAAAACCGGTTTAACCATCAAAAACCGCATTTTCTTTTGCTACTCGTATTGTGGGTTCCGCAGGAAACCCTAGAATCCCTGAAGTGTGGATGTTTGTTTCACCAAAATCCAGAGGTCAACGTAACGCAACGCCGTTTCTGAGGTACAAGGACTCTCATTGAAACATCGATCATTTTCATGAGCAGAAGCAGAGTTGTCTCCTTTTGGGCTGTAAACTAGTACGAACTGAGATTGGTGATGGAAGTGATCGAAATGTGCTTATGTGGTGTGGTTTGGTGACCGGTGTTTTCCTGGTGTTTTCAATGTGTGATGACAAGTGATCAGCATTTAGATTTTTTTTCATCCACCAACAATCATCGGTGATCAAGCATGGCTTGCTGGAGAAAAACAGATTTAGTTCTTAGACTTTCCCAGCTACAAAGGCCCACCAGTTTGATGTTTTCGGGCCCCATCAACCCAATATTTCCCTCTCTCTATCCCATGAAATCCACAAAAAACAAATCATCACATATAATCACCATTTTCCCAAGATTTTTACCGCATTTTCCCACGTTTCTGACTGGATGTTCTCCAGTTCTCAGCGGGTTTTGTGGCGGGTTTTAGGATGTGATCTCCTACACCTCTGCCATCTCGGCCTGTACCTTGCTGGTGTCGATATTTGAAAAACGCAGCCCCCAAAAGATCTGGAAAAGTTGGAAAGCCTGGAAATTCATGGAAATATCTGGAAATTATGGGGGTAAGACCATGTTGGACTACAGAAAAAGGTCACTTTTTCAGAGGTTCCTATGGAAGACAAATTGCCATGTTTCATAGGTAAATCATCGAACCAAAAAGGCCATAGCTCCTGATGGAATGACGAATGACCACTTTGAGATGAAGCTTTTTTTGGGGTCCTGAAAAGGGGGGAGAGAGAGAGAGAGTTTCAGCAGCTTACTAAAACTCTCTTCCCTATTATCCTATTGCTCTTTGCTTTGGGCTAACAGTATCTAACAGTGATGCATTGATACAAAACTGATCGAAACTATGCAAATACAGGTGCTACGGCGGGTAATATGAATCAGTATAGATTGAAAGTATGCAGTTTTCAGTATTTTCGAAAACATCATCACTACTAGGGTGGTGATTTTGAGTACCTGTGGCTGGCCGAAGATCATCTGAGCAGTAGCTTGCTGATGCCGGCATAGTCCCAATGTTTAAGATGTAGCGATGGCATGCATTACCTAGTGGTTATAGATTGAAGGTCATAGATATTGGTCAGTTCTTATTTTACATATTCTTTTCTTGACTTTTGAAGACTTTTCAGAGATGATCACCTATACTGCAAAATTATGTGTACATATACAGACATAATATAAATATTATATATATTTTCCTGCATATATATATATATCCAGTGTATATATATATATATATCCTGTGTATCCTGTATATATAATATATTATAAATACACAATTTATCTATATCCAATATAATGGGCCTAAAATCAGATAGTTTTTTATCTTCAGTGGTTACATCCATACTGCTCCCATTGAGGTGCTAGTACTGGCCACTGGAAGGAAGCCTTACAGCTCTTGGCAGAGACACATGGCGAAAACCAAGGGGATTTCATGGCTTTAGAGGGACTTCATTGGATTGAATGGGATATATAACCAACATTAACCAACTGAATATGGAGGGACATGTAACTAACAGGAGGAGATGACCAACAAAGAACTTGGTTTAACCATCAATAGGGCTAAATAGGGACTTCATGGAGATATATAATGGGATACTTATTGAGGGAATATATCATCAACTTAATATGATTTATTGGAAGTGTCTGAAGAGGGAGAATGAGGCTCCAATCCATTGCAATTGGGGATATTCTATCTTCAGATTTCAGACAAAAACCATTTAAGGAAACGATTGTGAACCGTGCTACACAGGAATTTATAGACCATCATACTGGATGTGATACAGTATCTGATATCTGCTTTGATTTGGGAAGTTTTAGGACTGGTCTGAAATTTGTTTAAATGTTGGCAGAGATCTAACAATTGTTCATCAACAATTCTTTAGGATCTCACCAGTAAAAGACATGATGATTCTGATATAGCCGATGGCTTGAAATGGCTTGAAGGGTTTTTGGGATCTGTAGTTCATAGGAACTCTCGCCATGCCCTGAGAGCCAAATAAATGTCGATGACCAAACAGGACTCTGTAGCTATGATATCGCTTCTCGAAGTCCACTGCTGTCTGGTCGATTCCTATCGCTGTGCCCTTATTCTACCCCAAGATTGGGAGTTGATTGGGGGTTACACCCAAATTATACCCAAATTATTCCACCTTCTCTCCTTTGTTGTTCTTTTTAAATAATTTCCCAAGTTGTTAAGATCCAGTTTTCAGAGGTTTCAACAAGGTCCGTTGAGTTTCCCAGATGGTCATCATATGTCATCATTTCCTTCATGGATATACTACCATGTACAATGATATACATGGATATTTCTATACTGTAAGATCTGTAATATCATGATGGCTAGTATCTATTTTCTTTCATGATATGGCTATAATTTACATCCATTGTATCCAAAAATGCTTTCCCCATGATTTCCCATGGATAAATCCCTTTTTCCACGGCCCAGGATGGAGCGTGCCGGGATCCGGGCGGACGTGCGCATCTTCAACGCGGCAGTCAACGCTTGCGCGCAGGTGCCTCGGAGGATGTGAAGATACCAAGCAGTTGAGATGCACTGGGATGTAATGGGATGTTTTTTGGGATGTAATGAATGGGATATATGATATTGATTACTGTATACATGTATCTCCCAGTATATGCCATGTATATTCCATGTATATTCAATGAGTGTAAATATACAGTGTATATATATAATATTGATTGGGATCTGATGGAATGTTTGCTGGGATTGAACCAACCTTGTGATTGAACCAACCATCTGTTTCATGGAATATATCGGGATATAGAATTTTACCCGCATTGTCAGTGTACAGAAGTGGGGATTTCACTTTTAAGAATGGATATATTGTCAACATATATATATATATAATATAATAATAATAATAAATAATAATAATAATAATTGGATTTCATGAGCCATTGCCCACAACTCTGTGGATTGAACCCGTAATTTCGGATAACCTTCGGCCCTTCGGTACTCAAAAACCATGGGCAACCGGACAACGACGACGAAGTCGCCATTTCGCTCGATGATTTTCCCCAGCCATGGGGAGTGATGCTGCCGGGAAGTTCATGGACAACGCTGGATTGTCAATTACAGTAAATGATTTATGGAAATCATTGTATCAATGGCCATTTTAGGAACCGATTTATTGGAGATACCGATTCCATATATAAGGCCTATTTTTCAGGCCTAATTTTCAGGGAATATCCCCACAAAATATGGCCAGAAATATGGTACAGTACCTCCATTTTAGGATCCTGAAATTCCCATTGATTGTATCAACATTAAAACCTCTACAATTACATCCATTTAGAGTGGATTTTCATGGATTTTCCATTGCAGAGATGGTAAGTTAGCGAGTGCATTTCTTTGTTGATCTCTATAAAGGGCCATCAAAACTCTATTTGTTTCACAGAGATTGGACAATTGTACAGTGAAAGGTGACCAAATTGATGGTGACCAAATTGGGTGATTCTTGGTGATTATTTATGAATACATTGAATTTCATTGAATCTTTGGAAATTGCTAGAACAACTAGTTATATATCTTCTAAAATCCACATGTTTGATTGGTTCCAATCCCATTTGTTTTTTTTTCTGTTGCAGACCGACGCAGGCTGGAGAATCTGCTCGTGCCTTGCAGTTGCTGGATAGCATGCCTGCGACTTGGCGTCGAACAATCGCAGAACGAAAACTGAAGATTTCACCGTTGGGAGTTACTTTCCCAAGCTGGTTGGTGGTTTGGGATATTTTTTATTTTTCCATATATTGGGAATTTCATTATCCCAACTGACGTTCATATTTTTCAGAGGGGTTCCATATAATTTATATGGGATGTCATCCTTCCCATTGACGAAGTCCATCATTTTTCAAGATGGTTAAAACATGTTAAAACCACCAACCAGCAAAGGTTGAGCCTTTGGACCTTTGGAATCCACTGGAAGGATAGAAGCTGCATGGCGTGCCGGGGTCGATGGATCCATAGGCTGATGGCTGATCAACATAGGTGCCATTGGTTGCAGCTACCCTCTGGTAATCTGCCGGAAAATCGCCCAGCAGTTCGATGAGTTTCCGAACTAAACCTCCATTGAAGTGGGAATTTTCCAATTGTTTAGTCTCGAAAGCTGATTGAATCCAGCTATTTCTGACAAACACAACAGCGCTAAGGAGAGGAAGTTGGCGCCTGATGTGATTACATACAATGCTGCCATCAATGCCTGTGCTCAGAGTGGAGAGTTTCTTGGCAGAGTCACCTGAGAATTCGACCAGATGTTTGGATAATTATTCCCATAGGATCCATGGTGCTGCTATATAATGCTATATATGGTAACATGGATCCCATTAATATACCCCCTTTATGTTAGCATATATACCAGCACCATGGATCCGTCATGGGATTGGTGGGAAGTCTCCATTGAAAAAATCGAGCGTCCCCAATCAAATCTGGGGCGTCGTCCCATAAGAAATCCCACTCTTTCTGCTTGGATTTGATGGTTACCCTCTGGTAAACTAACGTAACTATGGAAAATCACCATTTTTGATGGGAAAACTCACTATAAATGGCCATTTTCAATAGCTACGTTAAATTACCAGAGGGTAACTGATGTTAAATGATGTTAACCTTTCAAAGCCATTTAACATCATGAAAAACCAGTTTTCAAGAGTGATTCCAGCTGGTTCTTCACCTTCGGGGGGTGTAAATAAAAAATGCTGAGGTACCAAGCTGCTTTTCAGCTGATCGCACGGATGAAAGCTCAAGGCGTGTCATGGATTTCCGGGAAACAATTGGATGGTAACCACTGGAGAACAATGACATTGCAACAGTTGGGGATCACTGGTGTAGGGTTGTTTTTTTTCTGGAACCAACCATTGGGAATAGGACAATTGCAACATGGAATGACTACCTGACTGAAGCCCTGAACCATCTGAACACAGTGTATGGGTCGTGTCAGAATTCGGGACCTGCCGATGTCACTTTAGGAGTTCGACATTCCAGCCTTCAAATATCGTAACCCCGCAAAAAAAGGTACATGATGATGATTTTCATAGGAGTTTACCGTTCTATCTTGGGGTTACTATACCCAATTTTGATCCCTGAGACTCGGCAAGACCATAAAATCCTGCAGCTTGGATGCCAAGCAGTCCTTGGTGCTGGAGAATGTTCCTAGAGCAATCAACCATCCCCAAGTTTACCATAAATGGGTGCTATAAACCATCTAACATTACTATTGATTTACTAACATTATGATATCAGGAGGCATCTATACCTCAACATGGGCGGTTTATTATTGATTTACGAACATGATTATTCTTTGGCCTTGAGCCATGTGAGTACTCTGCTTGAGATGCGTTTGGGTCAAAAAACATCAGAACCCCCCTGGTCCCTTGCCGTTGACTGATTTGATCGAGGCTTAATCCCACAGACGCGCACCTACAACAGCGCCATCAACGCGTCGCATGGCTTAGGGTCAATGATGTCACTGCCATGAGGCTTTGTTTTTTTTGTTTTTTGTGTTTGTGTGCGTGGTATGGATGAGGAGATGATATGAGATGATGATGTCTTGTTATTTGGGCGGCAAATCACCCCACGAAAAGGTTTCATAAGATGATCTGATTGTCTCAAGTTGTTTTTTTTTCTGGGTAGCATAGGTGGCACATCCCAGATTCTCAGGTGTGAAAAGGCGTTTCGCGGCGAAGAAACCCTTCAGCCACTCGGCCATCCAAGATCATCCAGGGTTGTGCACGTCTTGATACAGCTAGCAGCGCATCTAGCATCAGCACGACTTCCCGGCACGACTTCCCCATGTTTCGTCTTTTTTGGTTCTGATTCCTGGGGGATTGCTGACCTGCAGCGTTCCAGAGCAGATTGCCATAAGTTTGTAAATTTGTACTGGGTCGCCTGGTTGTTGCTAGCAGGAGCTGCTTTATTGACACAGATGATTAATTAAATCCACTGCTGCACTGCTAGAGTTCCAGATGTACTTGTCCAACGAGATGTGTTTCTGAAGATTGGAGACTTACTGGAAACCATCTTGGAGAGCTTGGCTTTGAGATGGCAAGATATCAAGAAATGGATTTTCAGTACCCAATAGTAACTTAAATAAACTAACTCGTAGACCTAGCATTTTTTCGGGTATTTAGGGATGATATGAATCCCAGCAATTTTTATCCATGGTGTGCAGACCGTGCATTGTGCTGGGGATGCTTGGCATGGCACCTTTGTCGACCGGGTCGATCCGCGTAGGTTGCTGGATGACATGGTTGACACCAAGGTGGGGAAGCACCAAGACCCGATGGCGGCATAGGGATGACATCTAATGATCCTATGGTTGACATATGTTGATATACTACTATAGGTCTAATAGTTCATAGTTTGCAGATGTATACCACCCATATGGTAACCAGAAACGGCTTGTTCATCTCATCCCCAGCTCAGACTCTTCGGTTCGCTGTCCAGGCGCGGCCCGATGCCGTGACCTTCAACACCGCCATGAGCGCGTGTCTCAAAGGTGGGATGCCAGACCAGGCGCGGAAAGTCAAGGGACCATGAAATAAGAGGGAAAATGGTGATGAACTGGATTTGGATGTACCCCTCTGGTTATTGAACTGTTTGCGAACTGGAACATCATGGTATTTTGAATAGGTAAATCATCATGTTTATCAACTATAAACGGGTACCCATAGGTATGTTAAATAGCCAGATGGTATGTGGGACCGATGGAATGTTGAAACTTTTGGGGATGGAATCGCCCCACGGAAAAGAAAGCAGTTTTGACCTGTTTTGACCCAGATCAAGATCATGAACATCCCTTGGTGATGGAAAAAAACAATTACCCTCTGGTAAACTAACATAGCAATGGAAAATCACAATTTTTAATGGGAAAACTCACTATAAATGGCCATTTTCAGTAGCCATGTTAGTTTACCAGAGGGTAATTATATTATATTTAGTGGTTATAACAACAAACATAATTGCATGTATTAATGCATTTATATAATTTTATCAGATCTACAAAAGGCAACATTAGTCCATGACCATATCCATCTGGGATTTTCGGAGGGTCTGGACCCCCACCAGGACACTTGTTCTTGGTCCAAATCGACTGATTTTCCTTGGAAAAAAAAAACGAGGGGGTTCATTTTGGGGTTTCCATATATGGGGGTACGCCAATAGCTGGATGGTTTATAAGGGAAAATCCTATTAAAATTGATGATTTGGGGGTAGCCCTATTTTCGGAAACCCCCATTTGTTCAAAACGAGGATTCACCAAAATTCCCAGAGTGAGGGGACAAACATCCAATTCCCCTTGGCGCTGAACTCAAACTGGTCCTGATTTTTGCTCACATCATTCTTCATGAAGACTACATGTAGTGATTGGATGAGAATTCAAGTTGAAAGTCGTTAAGTTTGATTACAATGACTTTTTTTTACCGTGAGCTTGTTGTGTGTCAATCCATGCTGTTGCGGATGCAGCAGCTGGAAAAGCACAGTTTCATGGCATAGGAATATGAGAACAGCCAGAGCCATTTAGTTGAACGTCAGATGGTAAAATGATTGCCTGAAGGCAGCCTCGCCTTCACCGTTTGCCGGGGCTGCGAAGTGAAAAGCCGCAAAAGTATATGCAATATTGGGAATTTTCACCCATACAGTAATTTTTCATTACCCTCTGGTAAACAAACATACCTATTGAAAATGGCCCAGTCGAAATAGTTGATTTACCCAGCTATAAAATGGTGATTTTCCATAGCAAAATGTAAACGTTTACCAGAGGGAATGGCATATCTATGGAAAATCACCATTTTTAGTGGGTAAACCCACTACAAATGGCAATTTTCAATAGCTATGTTAAATTACCAGAGGGTATGGCAGTGGTATGGCCATAATTTTCTCCCCTTTGGCAGCGGTTTCAAGGTCCCAAAGGGGATTTCGTCAGCGTCAGGCCCTCTCCCTTCTCGAGGAGTGGCACCGATGTGGGGACGGTTGGACGGGGGGTGGGTTCCCGTGCTGAGACGTCAAGACCGTTCCCACATTGGCAGGAAGTGAATTGACTTGATACCCCGTAGGATCCATGGTGCTGGTATATATGCTAACATTGGGGGTATATTAATGGTAAATGTTACCATATATGGCATACATGGATCCCATGGGTACAGGACAGAATTTCAATGAATGTTGATATGCGAAAACTAAAAGCATTTTGACAGAGGCGAAGTTGGTTCCGCTTTCTACTTTCGGCCTGAGTTTATAGTAACCCCATCCCAGGTAGATCATGGGCCATTTTTTGGTGAATCAATGAGGCCCATGGCTGGATAGGGTGGTTCACCACCCGTCGATGCATCCGGGCTCAGAGAAGAACGCATGTTAGAAGCACCAGCAATGGAGTGACCAGTTTTTCAGTGGTTCCAGAATCAGCTACCTCGTTAGAATGAACTCACTTAAAGATGTCCAAACAGCTTAAACGCCTGGCACGGCACGTTGGATGCTGAATGAGTTTGATCTGTTCATAGCGTTGATTTGATGATTGCATTGACAATTTACACTCATATCTAATTATTTTGATATTTGCGTATGTTTATATATGTTTATATTCTATACATATTTGAGTCGGTCCAACATATCCAAAACAATCTCAGACACTTCAACTTTCACCGGGCCCATGGCCTCTGTCCATTTCTGCGCCCGGAGACCCGGGCAGACCCGGGCTTTGGCCGGGCCCCCGCCGGGACGGCATCAGGGCACCAATTGCACCATCCCGGCGTAAAGAGGGTGGGTCTATGTTTATTTTCCTAACAACTACATAGAGAGTGGAAAATTCTAGGAGAGCTTATATAATTTCCTAAGAACTACATCTATTGTTCATCACTCAGATATTCTATGTGAATCCAATAGCGAGTTGATGTTAAAATTTGCTGAACCTTGGGGTCAGCCATTCGCCACAGAACAGGTCCACAGAATGTTTTGGGCTGCAGATAGCTGGGACATCCCCATCAAACGAGCTGAGATGTGGATGATCCAAGCTCAACTACGAATAGTCAGCTCGTCATTCTGCAGTCGAATATGGACATGTCCAAAAGTACCCAAATGGGAATATCTGAATATCTGAATGCTGGTGGTTTGGAACATGAATTTTATGACTTTCCATATATTGGGAATAATCATCCCAATTGACTTTCATATTTTTCAAGATGGTTAAAACCACCAACCAGTTTGACAATCCCATATTCTATCTACTTGAGGATGATCATAGTCAAGTGGTGAGGATTTATCATCCCCAACGGCGCGGCCACCAAGGACTTGAGGCATGGCAAATGCAGGTGCAAGCGACTTGGCCGCTCCAAGAACTATTGCGTTTGAACCCTGGAAGAAGCTGAAGAGGTATTTATTCTATATAATTATGCATATATTAATATGTATTGTACATTATATATATATATGATTATATATATATATATGTAATATTATATATGTAATATTATATATATATACATTATACATACTATATATATATTTCAAGAAACATTATACATACTTACTATATATCCATTATACATTATATATATATATATTTAAAAGAACCCAGCAATTTTTCCTACCTCACCACCTCTGACCGCTGGCTTCCCAGGTATCCAACTGCCTGAGGATCCAGCGGAGGCCCATGCGAAGTATGTGAAGCTGAGGCCGGGTCAAGGGATTGGTGGATGAATAGCGGATTTATAGTGGTTAATAATGGTTAGTAGTGTACGTTAATAGTTGTTAATAGTTGTTAATAATGGTTAGTAATGGTTAATAATGGTTAGTGATTTACGTTAATAGTGGTTGCTAGTTGTCAATCGTGGTTGATAGTGATGAATAGACCCAATAATTCGAGGTTTCCGTTTTGTCACGGGTACCCCAAATCATCCATGTCATGACCAGATGACCATGACTTTTTTTCGTATTGAAATAAAGCCGTATGACTTGGGGATCACCCATGACTTAAACATTCATTTTGAGGGAGTCTGAGGGCCGATAATAATAAAAACTGGCCGGTGGCTTGATTTTTGTTTTTCAAGCATACAAAAGGGATTTTTCACGGGATGACTGGTTGAGATGACGAGCTTTTTTTTTTTGGGTTGGCTTAAAACCACCAGAACAAAACTCAGGATCGATTGAAGTTTGAGAAGCAAGAAAATTCATGGACCAATGGGACTTTTTGTTGGCAACAATGACATTACCCTCTGGTTATGTCAAAATAGCTATTGAAAATGGCTATTTATAGTTGATTTACCTCTTAAAAATGATGATTTTCCATAGTTATGTAAACGTTTACCAGAGGGCAACTGATGAATTTGAGTGACGTTTATATGGATATTACAAGGAACTGATGAAATTGGGGTGAAGTTAGATATTCAAAAGTTCATGATCAGGGTGGATTTACAGGAGATTTTTAAGCCAATAAGACTGATCAATGTGGGTGATGTTTAGATATTGAAAAAAGTTAATTTCCTCAACACTCTTGCGGAGATCTTTAATTCAAACAAGTTTGGGAGTTTTTGAGTTTGCTGGGGTGCTTTATCCAAAACGGCCGATCTGCAACTGACCTGCCATGGCAGGCAGTTGGTCCGCGAGACCTTCGAGGGTTTCCTGCGAAGCTTAAACTCACAGCGCGAAGCCCCAGGGTTTTCGGGGTTGAAGCCGCCATGATATTGGCGAATGGCGAAGCACCAACATCCAGCCACAACGTTTCTTTAATATTGAAACGTATAGAGAAGTCCTTTTCTGGCTACGATTGTCTTAGCTTCACTTCTTCACCTTCCAGCTACTTCGGAACAAGGCCATAGTCTACAAGCAATCCCTTGACCTCTCACATGGAACACTCAATGGGCCGAACAGATCCTTTCACTCTTGAAAATGGATACCCTTTAGCAATCCGACATTGGCTAATGAAAAATGACCCTTTTATATAATTATATATATATATATATCCGTGCCATTCCGTGCCTAACCCCGTTTGCCGATATTTTCAGACGATTTTTGCATGCAAAACCGGAATTTCCCATTGCCAAGTTAAATGATTTCAAATTGCAACAGAAATTTCAATGAGTCATAGACTCTTAGACAAGGATATTCTTGGTTTTGATTGTCAAATAAATCCTCATGTTGATGTTTAACACTACTGCATTTTGCTGATGATTTTCATCCTTGCCATGTAAGATTTCCATAGATTTCCGAGGTCATTACGGTGGCTTGAGCAACAGCGTGGCTCTCGGCCATGGCAATGGCTGGGTCGAACACTCTGATGGCTGGTGGTTTGAAATGGGGGATGGATCAACACTTATTAGACAATTTATATAAATTAATACACTTTTTGGATCAAAACCTATGGATATCAGGATTAAGGGGAACTAATTAATGGGGATTAGAGGACTTTGCATGACCACAGGCATTTTTTTCCTGATTCTGCAGTTCTTCCGAAAAGCTGAACATCATTGTCTGAACAGGCAACTTGTGCCAACCTTGGTTTCGTGGTGTTTTTGTTTGCGCTCGAAAAGGCAGAATCACTTTTCGCAGTCAGGAAGACCTAGGTATAGCACTATATAATTAAGTTACCTTCTGGTAATTTGTATTAATTTGTTACATAGGAAAAGAACCAATAAATCTGTTCCTATTGAATCCTGCTTTCTCAATCATGTTCCCAGCTGGCCATAAAATCAACACTGCAGTGAACACCACAAAAGCCCTGGTGAATGTGCTTGGAAGATCACCCCCTGAATGGGATTTCTCCCAGGAATGGGATTTACCAAATCATAAATGGCTACAACTGGTACTTTTCTTACCACTATCAATAGGACTTCATTGACAAACTAACAAATAAGTTGGAAATATATCCTAGCACTGAAAGATCCAACGAGATTGATATATATATATATATAGTATTATATATAGTATTATATATAGTATTATATATAGTATTATATATAGTATTTTATATAGTATTTTATATAGTATTATATATAGTATTATATTATATTATATTATACTATACTATATTATATTATATTATACTATATTATATTATTATTTATTATTATATATATACATATTCACATATCACACTCCATTCTATAGCCGTTAAATCCAAAAGCACCAAAAAACCCGCAGAGTTCTTCGCAGGTTCGAACGTCATGGCGGAAATTTGGATTCGGGGCAGTTCCTGCGGATCTTCTCCAGGGTGCCGGAGATGGCACCGTGCTGGCGAAGATGGCCCTTGAAACAATGGGGATATCATGGGATATATAGGGATAGATTATGTATATATGTATATACATTTATAGTAATATATATATATATATGTATATTATCAATAATATAAAACATGTAATATGTGGATTATGGATATATCAGATTTACCCTTAAGTGTGTCATGAAACGTGGTTTGCTGGAAAATCAACCATTGACTTCGAGGACTTTCCCAGCTGAAAAGCTCCATTTACCATGGGATTCCTCAGCCAGCCACGTTTGATTACCAGAGGGTAAGGACATTTAAGGATAGTTACCCTCTGGTAAACTAGCATAACTATGGAAAATCACAATTTTTAACGGGAAAACTCACTATAAATGGCCGTTTTCAATAGCTATGTTAATGTGTTGCTTTCAGGAAATTTCAACGATTTGAGGAGTCTCAATATTATATTCTAAGGACATTTAAGGACTGTATCTTCCAGGTGATTATTGGCATTGAACCCCCATGTTATTCACGAATAATAATGATAATTACAGTGGAAACAATAATACCATAATATTGATAACACATATATATATATATGATACATATTACATTATATAGATATCATATTATATGTATATGTTATATACATATACTGTATACATGCATGCATAGATAGATAGATGCATAGATAGATAGATGCATAGATAGATAGATGCATAGATAGATAGATAGATAGATAGATAGATAGATAGATAGATAGATAGATAGATAGATAGATAGATAGATAGATAGATACATAGATAGATAGATAGATAGATAGAGAGATAGAGAGATAGAGAGATAGATAGATAAGATAAGATAAGATAAGATAGATAGATGGCTAGATATATATATATATAGAGAGAGATATAGAGATAGATAGAGAGATTGATATAGAGATAGATATAGAGATAAAAATAGATATAGATATAGAGATAGATATATAGATAGAGATAGAGATTGATATAGAGATAGATATAGAGATAGATATAGAGATAGATATAGAGATAGATATAGAGATAGACGTAGAGATAGATATAGAGATTGATATAGATATATATATATATAGATAGAGATAGATATAGAGATAAATAGATATAGAGATAGATAGATATACATATAGATAGATATACATATAGATAGATATACATATAGATATGCATATAGATATACATATACTTATATACATACAAACATTCATACATACATACATACATCCATACATACATCATGCATACATACATACATGCATGCATGCATACATACATACATACATGCATGCATGCATACATACATACATACATGCATGCATGCATACATACATACATACATACATACATAGATATTTATAATATACACATAGGTTTCATGTCTTATCCAAGAGATCAAGTCCATTCTAGTTTTTAACTGGTTGGAACTCCCTGGATCAAATGCACAGCCCCTAAAAATCGAGTGGTTGATCCATTTTGGCTACCCCGCTACCCTTCCCCCCGATGGTTTCTGACTGAGAAAAATGGTGAGATCTCACTGTGATGTGACTGGAATGATGGTTAGCAATGCTAGAATCAATAGAATCATCCCCAAATGGCCGAACTTTTCAGCTCCATTCAATGCCGTCTCCAGACCGCAGGTGTGTCCGCGCTTAGAGTCCCGTGCTTTTCCAAAGGAGGAGGAGCGAAGACTAGTTCGGGTGGCCCATGTCTTTGATAATGTGGTTGATGGCTGCAAAATGCGGGCATTTCACCATCAACGGACATTTAACCACCCAAAATTAACTTGAAAAATCTCGAAGATCATCCGGAAATGATCATTAGATAAAATCATACAAACATATCCAGTTAGTTAGATGCTGACTTCACCATTTTTTATTTCATGGTGATTCGTGGTGATTCCCAGCAACGGGTTCAACCGTCAGATTCACCGAGGCTGTAAACATGTCAGTTCTGAAGCTCTTCGAAGGCCGAAATTAAAAAGTCTGACTCGTTGAAATGAGTTTTGCCTCACCGAAAGGTGTCTGTGTTTTTTCTGAAAGCTGTTGTACATTTGTTGTACCCTCTGTTAAACTAACATAACTATGGAAAATCACCATTTTTAATGGGAAAATCCACTATAAATGGTCATTTTCAATAGCTATGTTAGTTTACCAGAGGGTAATCTTAAGAATTCGATGTGGTGGAGCGTCATTGTCTGAACATGATACAACGGTTGTGTCACAAGAAAGATATTCCATCGGATTCCCATGGCCAGGCATGGACGTGGACACTTCAGGTGAGACCTCGCCGCTTGGACGTTTCCAAGAGAAAGGGGGCATTGGAGCAAGTGTAAGGGACATGTCATGGAAATTTCATGGGATTTTCAGCATCCAGAATGGGTGCTTTGAGATGGTGTTTTCATCATGCTGAATAGAAGGAGCGGAAAATGAATAGATCAAATGCGAAACCAGAGTTTTGGTTGGGTAATGTTGGGTATATTTGAGATAATTTGAGATTAGGGGGATGGATTATATTTATATAATTACAGTATAATATGTATATATATATATTTATATTGGAACAAAAGCCAAACCGTATCAGGTTTGTCCAAAATTGGAAGATGTCCCTCAACACATGTCAAACTTGATCTGCATTATGATTCATCATGTTTTGGGATACCCCATTTTGACACAAACCTAATTACGGTCCAATGATATACATAGTTATCATAGTGGCATGGTTTTTCACTATCAACAGGAGTAGTCAGGGCAGAAACTTCCATCCCACAACGGTCAGCAACCAACAGGAATGGTGATATAAAACAGCAAATTCCTTGGAGGATGTTCACAGGCTTTTGCATGTTGTGCAAGGGTTATGGTGCTTCTACACACATTTCCAAATTTTGGAGGTCGAACTCCTGACTTTTTGAGGGTGCAGAAGCCAAATGTCAGCTCTGTGAGGATCAGAGAATGTAGCTAAATGTTGCTGTAGCGGTTGGCGATTGATTCCTGCCATCCCAGGTGGATGGAATTTGTGGAGTTTATAAGCGTCCAGAGCCCATGGGAGCTGGGAAGGGGATGTGGGCAACCTTGGGGGCCCCACAATCAGTCAATTCATGATACGTTGTTTGCAATCGATTTTCCCTAGCATAATCCAATTCATATATCATCCAGTAATCAAACATGGCTAGCTAGCTGGGAAACCCCCGAACTAAATGACAGTTTCAAGGCAAAAATCATCGAAAACTACATGGATAATTGTCCAGCACGCCATGCTTGATGACACCGTAGGGTAGAATCATCTATATCCATACATACAGTAATACACATATATATATATATATTAATATCCCACACATATATGCCCATTATATCCTCATGGTTAGGATGGCGTGCTGTGGGTTAGGACGGTTAGGCTAAGAATTTGGCAGCCTGTTCCAACATCTTTACCCTCCGAGTGATAACGTACTTACAATAAAGTCCTCTTAATACGGATACAACCCAATTAATAACCTGGACGTGTTAAATAATTATATTCATTTTTTTGCTAAACTGGTGGTGTATGAATGCTGGGTTAACATTATAGCACCATGGAGTTGCACATCCTGAGGCTGTGGCTGAGGAACTTCGTTTGAAAGCGCAGGAATTGCCGGGTACCCCGGGTGCCCGGGGTGGTGGTGGACCTGAACGCGGTTTCGGGGCTGACTCTAACAGTTAGTCACAGGAACCCTAGCTGAGCTGGTTGGTGATTTGGAACATGAATTTTATTTTTCCATATATTGGGAATACTGTAATAATCCTGACTGACTTTCATATTTTTCAGAGGGGTTGAAACCACCAACCAGCTAGATTTGGAGGTAAAAAGTAAAAACCCAATTGTTTCCGGTAGATGTTCCATCTAATCATGCTGGAAAGGTAGCTATTCTCCGCAGTGTCAGCACTCGATGTGAAACCAAGGCTGCAAGTTCATGCTGATTGCAATGTGGTTCGTTTTGAGACTCAACCTAGGTCAAAGATGGTCAAAGTACAAGACTATCCGGTTTATTCGCCCCTTGCTTCTGTTAGCTGACTTGCCTGGCATCCGGATGTCTTTCTTTGAGGTCGGGACAAATCTTGGTCTTCGCACCTTCTGTACAGGCGCTCCGTTTGCCCCATTTGGGTGCCCTGGTGGGTTGAAACATGGGGCCGAATTTTGGATGCCTACTAAGGAAGATGGGGTCGGGGTATATTTACCACACATTTGATGGTCAGAGCGCATCTATGTTGGTAACATCTAGCCATTATTCTTGCTGATATCATTTGAGATCTAAACCACATTCCATTGTCATCTGTCAACTGTCAAGGTCACTTGTTTTTCTTGCAGTAAAGTCATAGAGCCGGTAGAGCCAAAACTCAAACAACAGAGTTGCTGTCTTCCATCAAGCTTTTTGCCATATCTTCTTATCCCAGCAATCTTGCAGCTTTCTTCCACCCCGGTTGGGCCATCGCTAGGTGTTTCTTGAAACCGACCCCTGACCGCTTGAGTCTTTTGTCTTCAAAGGCTTTGTACACTTTAAATGGGTTTCACATTTCTTGGAGCACCTATTATTTCATTTCCATCTTTCTAAGCTAGTTGTAAGAACATACAAGTACTTCCCATTGACAAAATGTCTTTGAGATGGTTTAAAGTTTAAACATGTCCTGGAATGTCGCGTTTTCCGGAGATTGGTTTAAACATGTCTTTGAGATGGTTTACACAATTTTAGACGTGTCTTTGACCAGGATTCTCCTGTATTCGGGGGTCAAATTTCTCACGGTGTTCTGTAGAAAATATCCCTTCCGAGCTTGGCAGGTTGTGCTACCAGCCTATCGGCCGACCGTGACAAAGCACCTCGATTTCCGGGGCAATGATCATCCCACAGCAATTGGGTGTTCAACGAATTGGGTGTTCATAGCCATGGAAAGATCCACCATTTTTAATAGGTAAACCATCTGTTTCTATGGGCAATCTATACCATGGCTATGTTAAATTACCAGAGGGTAATGAGAAATCCCAATCATCCAATCATGATTCATCGACAATCCAGAATGGATTGGATTTTTATTGCGCTCAACAGGAGATTCGCAACAAACGCCGCAGGACTTGTGCACTGATTACGCTACGTATGTTGGGGATGATTCGGATCTCCACATTGGTACTGTAAGAATGTCAAGTGGAAATCTGACTATACCAACTTTATTGGGGTCTTTTTGGCTAGATTTCAATGCCCCCAAATCCTCTACTTTAGCAGTGAGACCTCCTGTTTTTGGGCTTGTAATTAATATAAAGAGCTTGTTGTAGAATTTTTTAAATTTCTAGGGACTTGCTGAACCAAAAAAACCTAGGGGAGTAATGGGGAGTACTTGTTTTTTTCCTGGGGTGAACCCTAAGACTGCCATCGCAAGGTGCCACTTTGACAAAGTCTTCTACTGGCGGCTCAGTCGTGAGATATGGCCAGGGAGCAGGTGGCATTGAGCCAGGTATGGCCAGGAGAATGGTGATGATGATGATGATATTTATCGATAATAGTAGTACTACTTTGTACTACTATGATTATTAGTGTTAATATCCACTATCATTACTATCCTTATTGATGATGATGATGATGATGATGATGATGATGATGATGAGGAGTCTTATCACTTGGGTGTGGCCGGGAATGCGGAATTCCATGGACTTCCGACATCAACTGGAGGACATCTGGGAAGTGTTCAGCCATGCAGATGCTAAGGCCCGCGCTTCCAATGGAATGTGCCATTGTCTTCGAGGAGGGCCAGGCCAGGATCAGGTCTTGTCCGGTGAACGTCTTAATTTTGGTTCCTTAGCGAATCCCATTTGTGTTGCCCAAAGACCCATTCCGGTGAAGTTCCAAGGTTCACTTGGGAAGTAAAATCCACAGCTTTGTCATTGTTTGATGGTTGAATCCCACTTTTTTGTGACTGAGATCTGATCTTTTGCTGGTTGTTTCCCTGTTTTGTTTTGTATTCAGCTCACCGTGTTGCTCTTAGAATTCCGATTGTTGCTGGCTAAAATTCAACGCCACATATATTTGTTCACATCCACCTTACCATTTCGACATTAATAGTTGGTTAGTTTGTATCCCACAAAACCCCATGAATTTCCGTTGAATCCCCATTTTCCTAGCACTTCCTAGGGGGTTTCTTGTTTTTTTTCAACATGGATCAACATCCCCGAAGCGCCCAGCCCAGGCGAGCTTCTTCCTCCACCGACAGCAGAGCATGTTGCGCCGCCGCCGTGCCTTTGGTGTCGAGATGAGCAATGGATACCCGAAAAAGCAATGAAACATGGCTTGCTGGAATATCCCCATGAAGTTTGATGATCCAAACATGAGTACCCATAGGATCCATGTATGCTAGATATGGGAACATTTACCATCAATATACCCCCAATGTTAGCATATATACCATACATGGATCCCAACATGAGTATTCAATATTTTAATTACTAATTAGGTTTTTGACATCCATCATGTCGTTTAGTACGAAAGTTCTCCGATTGAAGTGCCAATTTATACGGAAGTTCCCACTGCCATGTTCCTCCGGTAATTGGAAGTTGGTCATTTTTGCCTTAAACCATACTAAACCATTGATTGTTGGAATATAACACGATACAAAACCATTCATGTTTTTCAGTTCCAATGCAATAATAAAAACATGTGTCATTGTTGGTGTCATAAGTTTTGGGAGTGAAAGATCTTGAATGAAACCTTGTAGCATTAGGCTTTTTTGGGGTGAATTTGTTTGAGAAACACAATCTAGAGGAGTTTCGCCAACAAAATTTCAGGATACTGCTGCAGTACTAAGCAGAGGCAGTGTAAATGTATTAAAACACTAATATATCTAGGGCCTAGTAGGGGGTGTTTATATGTTTATAATATATATATATGTTTTTATATGGTTATATATGTTTATATATCTATTATTGTCGATTATTCAAGCAGAGGCAACTAATATGTAACCATATATCACCAAGAAAAAAAATCGTGTAGACGGTTCTTTTTTTGTTTGGTATCGATCCACTGGGCAGTAAAAGCCACCTGTTTTCTGGTCGAGTTTCCCTCCAATTTTCACACATCTAACGGAGTTGGAGCTCGTAAGACTATAAAAATGGGTGATTCTCAGGATTTAAGATATATCTTGGCTGGGGGCGTGGTAAATTCACGTAAACTCCCCATTGTTTCATACTTCAACCGTGTCAAATCCTCATGTTCAATGATCAAATCACCATTTTGGCGGGTGAATTCCGATATATATATTTCCGATGAAAACTGCAAAAACCATCAAAAACCATCAAAAACCATCCATATCCATCCTTTTAGGCAGATCCAGCCAAAGATAACCAGCGATTTCATCAGCCATTTTATACACCATCCATCCATACTATACGCCCGAGGTGTCGACGGCCACCAAAGCGATCTACTTTCGGCGGCGTATCTGCCAGGGGCCCAAGAAACCCAAGAAAGCTTTGGCCTGGTGCAGTGACCGACCGAAAATGGGAAAATGCTTAGTTACAAAAATTGCTGGTGAAACATGGTTTAATCTCGTTTTATATAAGTGGTTTGATGTGGTTTAAGATGGTTGAAGTCAGGGGTTTATGATACTTTCACGTGGCTTAGTGGCTTTGGAACTTGAAAAAATTGTTCTGTTGGGATCCAAGCAGATTCCAACCATGATGGAGGTTTCCGAAGAAATAGGTGTACCCCCAGTCATCATCCATTTGTTTGTGATTTTCCATGAAATAAACCATCCAGCGATATTGGGCGGATCCCCCATTTTAGAGGAAGCCCTTTACAAATTGGTCAGTTACATTTGTCGCACACATTTCATCTTCCAAGCGGTGACAATAGGTTGCACCTCGCCAGAAAAGTCTGTTCTGTTGCCTTGATGTCTTGTGGACCATGGTAGTTCTCATGCCTCCAGCAGCACTTGAGAAACGTTTCAAGACTAACAAGATCTAGCAAACCTGAGCAAGCATTTGTGCCTGTGGCTAGAGGTCAATTTCCATGTTTTTTGTTGGTACGAAACCATGCCATTATGGTTCCCCCTCTGGCAATTTGACATAGCTATGGAAAATTACCTATTTCCAAGATTTTCCAAGGTAATGGCTTCCATACTTCGCAACAACTTACCAGAGGGTAATCCCATGAAACATTCCCATGAAATCCCATGAAATTCCCAGCAACTCCTTGAATCCCATTAACATTCCATTAAGTCCTTCTTAAATCCCATGAAATCCCATGAAATTCCATGAAATCCACCATAAAACATATAAAATCACCATTTCCATCATAATTTCCATCCCTTTTTTTTCACCTTTCATCCAGCCCTTTCCACCCAGGGAGGAGATCAATCTGGTGGTGACCTCCGGCAACGACAAGATGCTGTGCTTTTGGGCCTGGGCACCCCAGATGTCCATCACGAATGACTGGTTTGTGGTTTGGAACCATGGAATTTTATGACTTTCCATTCAGTTGGGAAGTTCATAATCCCAACTGACTTTAACTCCATGATTTTTCAGAGGGGTTGAAACCACCAACCAGTCATGAATGAAAATCAGCTTTGAACATGAATGAAAATGAGATCTCAAGATGTCTGAAGTATACTTGATATAACTTGATGTTGATGTAGAAATCAACATGTTTGGACCCCATTTGTTAAGGTCTGAATGATGATGACTTG